CAGAAAGGTCAGAAAGTCTATATGCTCAATTTCCCTCCTACACATTAAGTTAATGTGCTACTGTGATTGTGGGCATGATGGTTGGGCTTGGTTCTGATCTTAATTTTTTTATAGAGGAGTTTTGACTTTATAGAAATGGTCTGTACACAGGATGTCACGTTGTCACTTCTCTTTTTTTAAAATAAAGAAATCCCACCCATTTTGTCCACTTCTGAGAAGCTTGAAATACTAGTAAAAAATAAAAATACACGTTTGGAGTGCATAGGTGTAGATAAAAAGGAGTAGACTGACCATAAATTCAGTTGCTACCTTGTTCAGAAAACCAGTGTCGATTGTGTGTCCATTTCTTCCAGGCCAGGCTGTGGTGGGCTATGGTCTGGAGGATGGGGGTATGGTGACGAGAACTGGCTGGAAAGGGTTGGCACACATGATTGTGAAAGGTGTTGTGGTTGTTTTTCAGATGTATTTGTAGCTCACAATCAGGAGTATATTTTATACATTTGCATATATATATTTACTGAATATTTAGGCAAAGCACATTTAGAAGAGTACTTTGAAAAGTTAGTGGAATAATAGATTTGAAAGATAAGTTTATTTAGGTGCAAGCTTTGACATCCATGCATTTTCTGTGAATGTATGGAAAATCTAATTTAGTATATACTATACAAATATTATATATTTCAGTGAAATATATATACAAAAGTTTCACAACAGTTCTTTATTTATTTGAAAGAGAGTTACAGAAAAAGGTAGAGACAGAGAGAGAGAGAGGTCTTCATCTGCTGGTTCACTCCCCAGCTAGCTGCAATGGCCAGAGCTGAGCCGGTCCAAAGCCAGGAGCTTCCTCCAGGTCTCCCACGTTGGTGCAGGGGCCTAAGGACGTGGGTCATCTTCTACTGGTTTCCCAGGCCATAGCAGAGAGCTGGACCGGAAGAGGAGCAGCTGGGACTTGAACAGATGTTCATATGGGATGCTGGCGCTTCAGGTCAGGGCTTTAACCTGCTGTGCCACAGCGTCGGCCAAGCAGTTCTTCACCTTAATACATACAGTTTGTGCTAACATTTTCCCTTTGAATCAGCTGTATACCATTAATGAGCCCATAAATTGCATTCACTCACCCACAAATTACAGTTTGAAGAATGCTAGTTTAAGAGACTTGTGAAGGTGCTTGGCATGAAAGACCAAGGCCAAGGGCTAAAGGAGAATGGGGAAGGTGAATGAAGAAGGATTTCTTTCAAAGGATGGACTAAAGAGGACTTAGTGGTAAAATGCAGTATCTAAGTCAGGACTTCATTCTAGAACTTTGGCAAAAAATGAATCACATAAGAGGGTCTGAACAGGTACGTTCTTTAAGGTTACAGTTGTCTTTTTCTTGTCAAAGATAATTATTTGTTCATGGAAACTGAATTTTCTTTAGGTTATTCTAATCACTGTGGCTAGCTTTTAGTAGGCAATAACATTCTTAAGCTTTATTAGTATGCTTTAACTTTATTACTGTGTATGATATGAGAGTACCTTAGAACCTTATCCATGCTTCTGTGTAAATTTGTAGCTGCTGGCAATTCTCTATACATCACAGTATGTAAATACTGATAATCTTCTATAAAGCAAAAAGTCTTGCATTAGCTGCTGATTGTCCGTCGTAACTGAACACGAAGAGGATGCTGCTTTTCTATTTTGCTAATACTTCTTTGGGGGAAGATTCCATTTCACATTCTGCACAGCAGAGCATCTTCCCCTGGTGGTTTGTCTTTAGCCTTCAAGTGATCACACTTAGGCTCTGGTCTCATCCTCGTTAAGGAGGTTGCCTATTTGGGGGGATTAGAAGAAGTTTCTGAAAGTAAAATAATGGGGCAGAAAATGATTTTCTGGGATAAAAAGGCTTCTGCAGGCTCTGAGGATATGGTAGAAGGAAGAGGTGGAAAGAGAAGGAAACCAGATTTTCTTAGTTTGCCTATTAGTTTAAGGTGAGTGTGACCTCAACATTTTTTAATAAAGAGTTTGCAACTTGATGCTTAATGGAATTGAGTTTTTAATATTTATAGCTCATTATATAAATGCTCCCCCTCCAATTGCTTTCTTAAATCCTCTTAGCTTATTAACAGCAGCTTTGATTTCTAAAAAGAAATAAAATCTTTTCATTTATCCACCCAAAGAGTGGTAAACAATGGATGGGATGCTTAATGCCCTCCTTTCATGTTGGCCCCGAAAGACTGAGACTTACATCCTAGGGCATTTATTGCTGTGCTTTTGAGCTTATTAAGGTCATGTGTAACTCAAAGGAGAAAGCTGATGCTGCATTCTTGGTACAAAGGAAGCTCCTGGAATTCTGTGTGATGTATCAATTCAGCGGTACTCACTGGGTGAGTTGAAAATGTGGTGTTACAGAAACTACTTGTATGGTTCATGTGGATTGATTACACTATAGTACTTTGTCTCTAGTTATCCAGGCTGTTAGGGAATTACATTTTGCCTAAATAAATTTTTTTTATTTTTTATTTTTATTTTTTGACAGGCAGAGTGGACAGTGAGAGAGACAGAGAGAAAGGTCTTCCTTTGCCATTGGTTCACCCTCCAATGGCTGCCGTGGCCGGTGCGCTGCGGCCAGCGCACCGCGCTGATCGGAAGGCAGGAGCCAGGTACTTCTCCTGGTCTCCCATGGGGTGCAGGGCCCAAGCACTTGGGCCATCCTCCACTGCCTTCCTGGGCCACAGCAGAGAGCTGGCCTGGAAGAGGGACAACTGGGACAGAATCCGGCTCCCCGACCGGGACTAGAACCTAGTGTGCTGGCGCCGCTAAGTGGAGGATTAGCCTATTGAGCCACAGCGCCGGCCATTGCCTAAATAATTTTGAATTAAGTTTCTGCTGAAGGATCCTGAAGTCGTAGTAGTGGAGTGGATGTGAACTGATGGGACTATGTACATGTTTGTAGTCGTGGCGAGTCATTTTCCCCCTTAACTATACTTCATGTCATCAGTTATTTTAGGATGTTTATAAAAAACCCAAAATTCTCTACCCTCTGGGGCCTTCAGGACAACATGTAAAGGATAAGGAAGAACTAAACATTAAGCTGAACTCTGGGCAAGTACAAATTGCTAGGTCCTTGGGGACTGTCATTTATTCAGGAATGGCACCTTCTATGAGCCAGGCTCTGTCCCCTGTGCCAGGATAACTAAGAAAAATGACAGGGTTTGTGTGCCAGGACAGTGGGAGGAGGGCCATGTGCATGGGACTAGAGAACACCGGGAGACACAAGAATGGAAGCAGTGTGTTTCAGAAGCAAGGGCAGCCTGTGAGAAGCACACTTCTCAATGCAGTTTGTCAAGTGGCTGAAGCTTTCCTGTTTCCATTGCTATATTTGGGCTACTGAGAGCCCTTTAAAGTTCATTAGAGGACACCGTGGAGTATTGAACGTTTTGAGAGCTCTCAGGCAGCACAGAGTTTGGGTGGGATTGGGGAAGGAGGGTATTTGCACTCTGATGCTGCCTGCACTCTAGCCACTCAGGGCACTGCCCTGTGAGTCCTCAGTAGGTTCTGAGAAAGTGGATTCAAATGGAGCACATAAGCATGCCTTGCTTAGGATCAAGAAAACGGGCAAAAGCAGGCAAAAACTGATCTGATGTAGTAGTATCTTTTCCACCTGGACTCATCTATCCAGAGCACAGCTGAGCATCAGGAACTTTTAAAAAGTAATTTTAAGCAGCCAAAATAGATATTGCCAAGCCTTTATGCACAGATGCATCTGCACAAGGCCTCTCCACACTTATCTAGCAGATCTGGACATCTGGTTTCTAAACTGATCTGTGGATTTTGAAAGGAGAAAATTAAAAGGGGAAGAGAATGTCGTCTAAAAGGAATGGCACAGTAATGGTATAATAAAGTGATGGTTAACACTTTTAAAAGGAGAAAGAAGATGGAGCACTGGAAAAAAGAGAAGGCATCACTCACAGGCATTGCAGCTGTTTCATTTAGAGTCAAGTGCATTAGATGCATGGCAGGGAGATTTCTAAGATTTCTGAAGTATTTGAATAGTTCAAATCTGAAGGTTTGAACTGTTTCTTAGGTAATGTTCATGCATTCAAGTGTGAGTGGTTCTGTATGCCCAAGGAGGGCAGTTGATGATCCCAGTGATGACCTCTAGTCGTCAAGTGGTGTGCCTTTTGCTTTAGGAGTAGCTCTTAGGATATTATGAATCAGAATGTTTAAGGTTAAAAATTTGATGCTTAAAGCATCGAGTCTTCAGTTGTTTGAAAAACTTAACTTTCTTCATAGTCTTGTTCACTAAAAGATTGACATTTTACTGCATAGGAAAGTCATACCAGGTGGAAAATAGTAATTTTTATTATAAAAAGTCACGGTTAACTTTATAGGCAGTAAGCTTATATTGCAGTTTATAAATAACACTTTATGTATGCTATTCAGTTATACAAAATTGACATACAACTCTCCAGAAACACATCTGAACATCTGTGACACTTTCTGTACTTCTCCTTTGCAATTTACTGTGTTAACATTTTGTTTGTTATAGCCCATCTTCCTGTATGTAAAACACATTCTTATGTTTTTGGCTCCGTGTACATGGCAGATCCCAATAAATGTTTATTGAATGACTAATGATTAAACAAGTAGTGCCAAGCTTTCTAATTAATCCTTTACTAACAATATAAATACTTTTCATTATCTTTGTTTCCCATTTTTGATTGCACTCTAAAATTTTTATGATATTTGAACTGTATTTGATGATTAGAGTTGTCAGAACACTTGAATTGCTTCTTCATGCCTTTGCTTTACCCTTACTGAATTAAAGGGCAGAAGCAGCATGAGGTATTGTGGAATGTGAATAGGTTATGGGCTTCCGATGAAGCACTAAAGTGGGTTTTCATGGCAGACATGGCTTTACCTTGATGGGGTCATTGTGGAGAGGCCAGGGGCCAATGGGGGGCATATACCAGAGTGTTGAGGGGATGTTCCACCTGTGTTTACTGTGTCGTTGGTCCCAGGTGACTGTGGAGGAGGTCATGACCACAACTGCGTATCTGGACCTTTTCCTGCGTAGCATCTCTGAGCCAGCTCTACTTGAGATCTTCCTCCGCTTTATCCTATTGCACCAGCATGAGAATGTCCACATTCTAGACACTCTCACAAGCCGAATCAACACCCCATTTCGGGTAAGGAGAGCACCAGAAGAAGGGAATTCACAATTCAGATTTCAGGAGAGTTTTCGGAATGAAATTATGAGTGTGTTATATCCCTCTCCCCTCCCCCCACCTTCTCCTTCCTTCCTTCCTTTTTTTTTTTTTTTTTTTGGCAGCTATTTAAAAACTCTTTTTGTTAGGGTGGAGATGAACTCAGTCCTGAGTTTTGCCATCAGGAGTTCTTCTATCAGGTAGGGTTGGTCTCACTGCCTTTCAGAGGCTATTTCTCTCATTTCTGTCTGTAATGACATTTTCTGCTACAGAACAGGTAGAATGTACTTATTAGGGGGTAAGAAAACAGGGAATACATATGGACTTAAGTATAGATAGAACCAAGGAAATAGAATAGATCAAGTCTGGGGTTAGAGATCATTATTTCTGTCCATGAGTGTCTTGAAATGGAAGTATGAATTCAGATGGTCATTCCTTAGTTTGGAGCTCTGATCAACCTTCAAAGCCATTAGTGCCACCCTTAACAACCTCTCCCCAAAGGCTGTCTCTATTTAATTGCAATTATTGTTTTAAAAGCTAAAGAATATCATTGAGTTTGTAACACATGTAGATGTAATATGTTCAATAATAATAGCACAAAGTGGGGAAGAAAGAATAGATCTATAGAGTAATATTGCTATATTTCACCAAAGCTAATGTATAAATTTGAAATAGATTCTGATGTTATCTGATTGGAAGATTCTGATAATATCCATTGGAAGCCCTAGAGCAGCCACTAAGAAAATAACTGAAAAAAATATAGTGGAAAAACTCATTAAGGGAATTAAAATGTTATACTGAGGAGAAAGTTCATTTAGCAGTCCACCTACAGCAACAAAATGCGTACTTTCCTTGAGAGTACATGGGGCATTCTCAACACAGACCATACACCAGGCCTCAGTGACTTTAAAAGGATTGAAATCATGTACATGTGCTGTGATCACAATGGATTGAAATTCAGAATTATTGACAGAACTAATTTTGGGAAATTCATAAACATTTATGAATTAATATACTTCAAAATAACTGAGGAGCCAAAGCAAGGGAAATGAGATGAATGAAAATGTAGATCAAACATTTAAAGAATAATTAAAAGGGGGCCTGCGCTGTGGCACAGCAGGTTAAAGCCCTGGCCTGAAGCATCGGCATCCCATATGAGTGCTGGTTCTAGTCCTGGCTGCCCCTCTTCCGATCCAGCTCTTTGCTATGGCCTGGAAAGCAGTAGAAGATGGCCCAAGTCCTTGAGCCCCTGCACCCACATGGGATACTCAGTAGAAGCTCTGGCTCCTGGCTTCAGATGGGCTCAGCTCTGGCCATTGTGACCATCTGGGGAGTGAACCAGCAGATAGAAGACCTCTCTCTGTGTCTCTAACTCTCTCTGTAACTGTCTTTCAAATAAATAAATAAATGAATGAATAAATCTTTTTAAAAAAGAATAATTAAAAAATAATATCAGCAAGATAGTGGAATAGGAAGCACTAGGTCCTTATTCTCTTATATAGATACTCAGTTAACAAAAGTTTAGGGACCAAATTGCCTTTGTGAGAACCCTAGAAATTGATTAATAGGCTGCAGTGCAAAGTCAAGAAGAGACATAGGAAAGTTGGTGGAGTACTCATATTACCTGCCCTATCTGCTCCCTCTTTTCAGCACTGTGTGGCAAGATCTGGAGAAAACTCCTAACCACTGACTTTTCCCTTGGAAGGAAAAGAGAAGAGTGAACTTGTCCAATGTGTTGTCTTTTGGTTGGGAAAAAGAACAAAATAACTGTAAGACATACAAACTGCAACAAAATGGCAATGGGAAATCCTTCCATATCTGTACTTACTTTAAATATAAATGGATTAAACACCCAAATTGAAAGACATAGGTTGACTAACTGGATAAACAAAACAAGATCCAAGAATATCCTGTCTATAAGACATTAACTTTTGATCCAAGGATACCCATGGGCTGAAAGGGATCAATGGATGGGAAAAAATATTCCATGTAAATGGTAATTAAAAGAGAGCAGTAGTGGTCACACCCGTGCTTTATTTTAAAGATCAATTTATTATAATTACTTTGAGAAGCAGAAACACAAACACAATGACACACACACACTCACACACACAACCCACTCATCTGTTGATTCACTCCCAAAATGCCTATGATGACCAGGGTTGAGCCAAGACCAAAGCTAAGAGCCAGGAACCTAATTTCTTGAGCCATCATTGCTGCCTTCCAGGGTCTGCATTAGGAGGAATCTGGAGTCAGAAGCCAGAGGTGAGCATAGAACCTAGGTACTCTGATATGAGACAGAGGCATCTCAGCCAACAAGTTAACTGCTTGCCTGCCCCATACCTGTGTTTTAAAAATAGACTCTAAGATAAAGAGACACAGAAGAGCATAAGATACAAAGAAGGGTCAGTTCACCACTGGAAGATGCAACAATTATAGATCTCTTTCTCTCTCTCTCTCTCTCTCTATATATATATGCAATTAACATCAGTGCTGCCTAATATATGAAGCAAGCATTGGCAGAATTGAAGAGAAAAATAGACAGCTGCACAATAATACTAGGAGACTTTATTACCCTACTTTTAATAATGTGAAAAACAACCAGACAGAAGATTATAAAGAAACAAGATGTGAACAAGACTACTAACCAGTTAGAGCTAACAGGCAAATACTGAACACTCCACTGAGCAACAGCAGAATACTCATGGAACATTCTCTTGGATAGAGTTTAGGCCATCAAACAAGGCTTAACAAGTTTATAAAGATTGATATCATACAAAGTATTCTTTTCTGACAGCAGTGGAATGAAACTAGAAATCAACAGAAGAAAAACTAGAAAACCCACAATATGTGGAAATTAAACAATACACTCTAAGCTTTGGGCTAAAGAAGTCATAAGGGAACTTGGACATATCTTGAGAAAATGAAAGCACAACATACCCAGATTTATGGGATGCAGAGAAAACAGTGCTAAAAGGGGTTTTTATAGCTGTAAACACATATTAAAAAAAAAGATGTTAAATCAATAGTATAACTTTACAAATTAAATTCAAAGTTGGCAGAAAGAAGCAAATAATATAGATGAGAGCAAAAAAATGAAATAGATAATAACAATAAGATAAAAATATATAAAAATTGAGAATAGAAGGAAACAACTTCAGCATAATAAAGGCCATATATGAAAAACCCATAGCTAATGTCATAGATAGGGATAAAAGATTGAAAACTTTTTCTCTGAGAAAGAAGTTGAAGCCAACTAGATATTTGTTGATGAATGGATAAAGAAAATATGATGTACAACTTTGAAAAAGGAAGGTGGTAACAGCATGGATAGAACTGGAGATCATTATGTTAAGTGAAATAAGCTAAGCACAGAAAGACAAGTATTACATGATCTCATTTATATGTGAGTCTAAGAAAAAATGATCTCATAGAATTTAAAAGAATAACAGATGGAACCCATGCTATATGTAATGGGCTAAAGTCCTGGCCTTCAGCGTCAGCATCCCAGATGGGCCGTGGTTCAAGTCCTGGCTGTTCCACTTTCCATCCAGCTCCCTGCTAATGGGCCTGGGAAAGTGCTTGAGCTTCTACACCCACATGGGAGACCCAAAAGAAACTTCTGGCTCCTGATTTCAGATCGGCCCAGCTCTGGCCATTGCAGCCATTTGGGGAGTGAACCAGTAGGTAGAAGACATCTCTCTCTCTCTCTCTACCTCTCTACCTCTCTATCTCTCTACCTCTCTACCTCTCTCTCTCTTTCAAATAAGTAAGATAAATCATTGGGAAAAAAAAAATAATAACAAGTGTTACCAGAAGCTGGGGAGGGAAAGAGAAGATGGGAAAATGGAAAAAGATGGATTAATGATTACTAAGTTTTAGTTAGAGAGCAGTTCTGAGGTTTTGTCACAAAGTAGTGAGACTGTAGATTATGTACTGGATATTTCTCTCTAAAAATATAGGATTTTGGATGTTTTCACCATATAGAAATGTGTGTGTGTGTGTGTGTGTGTGTGTGTGTGTTTGACAGGCAGAGTGGACAGTGAGAGAGAGAGAGAGAAAGGTCTTCCTTTGCCGTTGGTTCACCCTCTAATGGCCGCCGCGGCCGGCGCGCTGCGCTGATCCGAAGGCCGGAGCCAGGTGCTTCTCCTGGTCTCCCATGGGGTGCAGGGCCCAAGCACTTGGGCCATCCTCCACTGCACTCCCTGGCCACAGCAGAGAGCTGGCCTGGAAGAGGGGCAACCGGGACAGAATCTGGCGCCCCGACCGGGACTAGATCCCGGTGTTCTGGCGCCGCTAGGTGGAAGATTAGCCTATTGAGCTGTGGCACCGGCCCACCATATAGAAATGTTAACTGTTTGAAGAGATACATGTATTTACCTTGATTGGACATTATACAATGTATATATGTTTCAAACCATCACATAGTACCCTGTAGATATGTATACTATGTATGTGTATATTAAAGTTTTTTCGAAATTTAAGAAGGGGATATTGTCACATTCTACAATCTGGCTGAACATTGAGGATATTGTGCAAAATGAAGTAACCCAGGCACAAAAAGACAAGTTGTATGATTTTGTTCATGTGGAGTACCGAAAGTAGTTATACTGATAGAAACAGCAAGTAGAGTGGTGGTTAGCAGGCCTAGGTTATAGGAAAATTGCAAAGTTGTTGTTTACTGGTTAGTGAGTCGTCATTTATCGGCTTTGCAACATGTACACATTTTAGAGATCTGTTGTATAACAATGTGAATATTATGCTTTCAAAAATGATTGATATTATGTTTTTACTATATTGTTAAAAATATAAATTTCTTACAAAATTTTTAAAAACATAGAAGAGGAAGGAGTGTTTATTATATGAAGTCAGTTTTATCCTGGTTTCAAATCAGACAAAGTTATCCCAAGAAAAGAAATCCTAAGAAAAAAGAAACTATAGACTAATATCAATTTGTTTTTCTTTTTTCTTTTTTTGGATAGGCAGAGTGGACAGTGAGAGAGAGAGACAGAGAGAAAGGTCTTCCTTTGCCATTGGTTCACCCTCCAGTGGCTGCTGCAGCCAGCGCGCTGCGACCCGCGCACCGCGCTGATCCAATGGCAGGAGCCAGGTGCTTCTCCTGGTCTCCCATGGGGTGCAGGGCCCAAGCACTTGGGCCATCCTCCACTGCCTTCCTGGGCCACAGCAGAGAGCTGGCCTGGAAGAGGGGCAGCCGGGACAGAATCTGGCGCCCCGACCGGGACTAGAACCCAGTGTGCCGGCGCCGCAAGGCGAAGGATTAGCCTATTGAGCCACGGCGCTGGCCAGACTAATATCAATTATTAATACAGACACAGGATTTCTAAGTAAAACACTGGCAAGTAGAATCCAGAATAAATGAAAATGATTATGCACCATGTTCAAGTAGAATTTATCAAAGCAGAATTGCAAAACTGGCTTAAAATCTGAAAATCAATTCATGTAATATGTCAACAAGATAAAAGAAGTCATATGATCATTTCAGTAGACACAGAAAAAGCATTTGACAACATTCAACATGATAAACATACCTAATAAACCAGGACTAGAAGGAGACTTCCTCAGTCTTACAGAACATCTATGAAAAACTCAGAGCTGACATCAAGCTTCATGATGAGTAAAGCAGGCTAAGATAAAGATGTCCACTCTTTAACAACTGTGTTCAGTGTGGTACTTAGATGTTGTAGCCAGGGCAGTTAAAGAATAAAATACAATTAAAAACACTCATTTTAGAAGTAAAACATTTTGTAGTTGAGGATGAGATGATCTTACATGCAGAAAAACAGGGAATGTGCTAATAAAACATCAGAATCAATAATGGGTTTGGTAATATTGTAGGATACAGGATTAATGTAGAAAGATTTATTGTTATTTCTATACAATATAAGGGAATAATATAAACAATCCCATTTATAATAGCATCAAAAATAAAGAGTTAATTTCACAAAAGATGTATAAAACATATTGTGAAAACTGTAAGACAATGCTGAAAGAAATTAAAAGAGACCGTAGTAAGTGGGAAATATCCCATGTTCATAAAATAGGAAACTTAATATTGTTACTATAGGAATAAGTACTTCCCAAAATTATTTCTAGAGTTCATGATTTCTCTATTAAACCCCTTGCTTGCTTCTGTTTAAATTGATAAGCTGAAAATTCATGTAGAAGTACAAAAGACTAATAATAGCCAAAACAAATTTGAAAAAATAAAAAAAGGTTTGGAGAACTAACACTTGCTGATTTCAGAACTTAACCACAAAATTACAGTAATCAAAACTGTGGTACTTCTATAAGGATGGGCATACAGATCAACGAGAGTCCAAAAAGAATGCTATGTATCCATGGTCAGTGAGTTTTTTTGTTTGTTTCATTTTTTGAAAGGCAGAGAGAGAGAGAGGGATCCTTCATCTGCTGGTTCACTCCCCATATAGCCACAATGACCAGGCGCTGGGCCAAGACAAAGCCAGGATCTAGGAGCTTCTTCTGGGTTTCCCATGTGGGTGCGGGGGCAAGCAGTTGTTGGGCCATCCTCCGCCACTTTCCAAGGCCCATTAGCAGGGAGCTGGATCAGAAGTGGAGCAGCTGGGGCTCAAACCAGCACGCATATACGATTCTGGGACTGTAGATAGAAACTAAACCTGCTGTGCCACAGCGCAGGCCCCAGTCAGTGAGTTTTAAATGAGGGTTTAAAGCTCATTCAATGGAATAAACAATAATCTTTTCAACAAATGATGCTGGGACAATTGGATATCTAAATGCAAAAAATGAAGTTAAACCCTTACCTCATGTTATGTATAAAAATTAATTTAAAATGGATCAAAAACCTCCATGTAAGCTAAACTTATAAAACCTTTAGAAGAAAACATAAGAGTAATCTTCATGACACTGGCAATGATTTCCTAGGCAAGACAGCAAAAGCCTAAGCAACAAAAGAATGAATAAACTGGACATCATCAACATTAAGTGCTTTTTTGCTTCAGTAGACACCATTCAGAAATTGAAGACAATCCAAAAAACAGTGGGAAAAACTTTACAAATCATATCTCCTAAGGTACAAAGACTTCATAGATAGCACAGAGCATACATAGAACAAAGATTTCCTATAACTCAATTTTAAAAAGGTAAATACTCATATACCCTGCTGAACACCCTTGGTGATTTACAGGAGTTGCTATGGCAATAGATAAGGATACCTAACTAAGTATGGGGGAAAGAGGAGGTAGGGGACTGTATTGTGAGAAGGAACAGAAAGATTTCCCAAGGGCAGATGATGCCTAAGCTAAGCCTTTGGGAATAAGTAAGAGTCGGCCTGTGAAGAAGGCAGGAAAAGGCATTCCAGGAATAACATGTGCATAGACTTAGAATGAGACAGAGTATGTTGCTTCTGGCTAGCCTGCTCTGAGTATAAGAGGTGTTGTGGGATAGTCCACATACAGCTATTTATTTGCAATGCTGTTCTGGATTTCATTGACCAGGTTTTAAGCCCATCCTTTCTGGAAGACAGACCAGTATTTATTCTGCTATGTGAAAAATGAGAACTTGAATTACTTAAATGGCCTGGAAGATTGATAAAAGCTTCCTCTCAAAAGATATGATGATTTTTATAATATATCTTTGGGTATCTCCCTAGTTGGGAGTTTATCTTTGTTCTTTGAAAATGTGAGATTAAAAGACTTTTTAAAATTTTTTTAAGATTTATTTTTGTTTGAAAGGCAGAGTGACAGAGAGGGAGAGACAGAGAGAGAGATCTGTCATCTGCTGGTTTACTCCTCAAATGGCCACAACAGCCAGAGCTGGGCCAGGCCCAAGCCAGGAATCTGGAACTCCCATCAGGTTCTCCGATGTGGGTGGCAGGGGCCAAATTACTTGTATAATCTTCTACTACTTTCCCAGGTGCGTTAGCAGGGAGCTGGATTGGAAGTGGAGCAGCCAGGACTCAAAGTACACTAACAGGGGATGCTGGCATAGCAGGCCACGGCTTGACTTGTGTCACAGTGTTGGCCCCATGCTTCTTGTTTTTTAATGAACTTCTGAGAAAAGTACATTACTACCCTCTCAGCACCACAGAAAATTGAACTAAGGAGAATGTTAGCCCCAAAGGCAACAGAGAAACTGAGTCTAGGAGCTGAGAACTCTAAAGGGAGAGATGGCCAGGTTATATGCATTTCCCTGTGAGTCCTGTCTTATAAATAGCCAATGTCATATTTGAAAATAACAGCAAAACAAATTAGCTGAACAGCAGATCTATGTCACTGTATGTGTATTGGGGGAGACATAGGGGACATGTTTATCTGGATCATTAAGACTTGAATCGTGAACATAGGCATTTTTGTAGGAGTTTAATTTTGCATGATAGCGTAATTCCAGGTATTAGCTTTCTAATCAAACCCTACAAGGAGATATCCTGAATACACATTCTCCCTGGCAGTAGCATGGTTTTTATCAAAAGTGCTAAAAAAAAAAAAAAGAGGTCATTTTATTTATGATTTGCCGTCTGTGGGGAGCAGAGTTACCATTCCAATATCTGAAATAGAATGTGTTGATTGCTTCCCAGCTTTGTGTGGTGTCCCTGGCATTATTCAGAACTCTCATTGGTTTACATTGTGAAGATGTGATGTTACAACTGGTTCTAAGGTGAGTTGCCTTTTTTGTTTTCTCTCAAGAAAAATTCATTCTATACTATTACTATTTTATGTTACTTTGGTAATAGAAGCTACTAAGGGCCATGTTTGTAGGGAAGAAAATCTTCAAGAGCATCAATTTAATTTCTGCGTTATTTCCCAAGGTTAATTTCAACTTCACTATTAAAAGTACCTGGGGGCCACATGTGTTATATTAAAAACATGCTTCTGGAAATAATAGATGGAATGTTTGGAAATCTTCTGAAGTCCTGTGAGAATTCCTGTGTATCATAGCTGAATGTTTTTCTCCTAATAGGGATCTTTGTTATTTATTTTTTAAATAAAGATTTATTTATTTATTTGAAAGGCAGAGAGGTAGAGAAAGGAGGTCTTCCATCTGCTGGTTTACTCTCCAAATGGCTGGAATAGCTGGAACGGGGCCAGGTCAAAGTCAGTAACCTAGAACTCCACCTGGGTCTCTGGCAGGGGTGGAGGGGCCCTTATCCACTGCTTTCCCAGGTGCATTAGCAGGGAGCTGGATCAGAAGCCAAGCAGCTGAGACTTGAAGTGGCATTCATGTGGGATGCTGGCGTTACAGGCTGTGGCTTAACCTGCTGTGCCACAATGTTGGTGCCAAGGATATCCATTATTGAAAACAACTTGGACATTATTCCACTTTTTCCAACGAAGAAATGCTGTTGGTATTAGATACTTAGACTTTGGCTTTGGTACACATGCAGTGTACATGATCTAATCTGTGAGTGTTTCCAGCTAAATGCAGTAAATATTTCATGTGTACTTGTAGTGTGTAATTCAGAAACAGTAAAGCAGGGAGCAGATGGCGTGAAAGGGACTTACAGACTGGGCAGCCAAAGGTAGTAGTACTTCCTTCAGTACTACAGGTGGGAAGGGTTTCATGAAGTGGCTGGCATGTGAAAACAGTGAGTCAAAGTGTAGTGCCCCTAACTTTACCTTACTTTGGTGATTTGGGTAGGGGACTGAGGAACACCAGATCCTACCGGGGCCTGCTATGTATCATCTTTCCTGGATCCCCAAGGGAAGCATGTTCTTTGTGAAGGCAAGTAATGAGGCTTCACTGTTAGTTCAGGACTCGCTCCTGAATCCCAGTGCAGCGTTTTCCAGACCTCAGACTAGACAGTGGTATACTTCTTTCCTCCTTTAAAAAAAAAAAATTTTTTTTGCTAAGCTCAAATCCTGAATCTTGGAATTAACTCCTCAAGTGAGATCCGCCCTGGCACTGCAGAAAACAGAAATTCCAGGGGGAGAGTTGGCCAGTGCTTGTGCTCCTGCACTCCCTTCTTAGCAATGTGGAAGCTAAAAGGGGGAAGTGAGACAGCCAGGATCCTCTAACACGCACTCCCCTCTGCTTTCTCACTGGAATTTCTGACCCTTCCTTTGACCTGTCCTTTGGGAGCGAGGGTGGATGAAGCTGAGAGTAGAGAGAGAAGGAAGGAGACAAGCTTTCCCTAGTTCACACGGGGGTCACGATTTGAGTAGTGGTCACCAAGGAGAAGGCATCCCAGGTGGATGTAATAGGTGTCTGAAGAGGTAGCTCTAGAAAGGCTGGGGAGTGTCCAGGTTGGGGCCTGAGAGTAGCAGTAAAGGCACTGCTTGGGAACCAGCTAGAAATGCAGAGTCTTGCCCTCCTCCCAGATCTGTGGAGTCAGAAATGCAAGGCAGGGCCCTGAAAGCTGTGTTTCGACAAACTCTGCAGGGGATTTTTCCTGGAGGCTCAGAGTGCCACTGGTTTGTGCTGTGGCTACAGCATCCTGGACTAGGGAGAGATTAAAAATGAGACTGAAGCAGTAGGTGGTGGCCTCCTGTGGAGGACCTTACAGAGTTCTTACTTCATGGGAGAGCATCACCTAGTAGTTTGTTAAGTTTAAAAGAGTTTTTTGGACTTTTGAAGGGTTTAGATCAAGTCATGAGTAACTAATCTTAAGGCGTTAGCAGAGAACAAATCCGATCATAAACACACACCCTGGGTAGTCTGGGTAGAACATTAGTTATCTATCTAAAAAGGATTACTTCAGCTCCCCATCAAGTCTCTACCGATATGACAGAATGCATTAGCTAGGCCTGAATGAAATCCGGGAGGACCTGGGAAAGCCTTTTTTATTGCCAAAACAAGGCCTTTATTCCAATATGGGTGAAATAGGATTGTATTTAAATGTTCTTAAATACTGCTACTCTGATGGCAGGACAGGCAGGTGTCTTTTTTTTTTTTTTTTTTCACCTCAAAGCCTGGTGTTGATCAGGAGGTGCAGAACTTGCCCATTCTGGGTCACCTCCTGGCCAACACCAGCCTTCCAGGTACACTGAAAAAGTCAGATTTAGCCCAGGTGCTGGAAGTTTTGCTGACTGGCTGATTAGTGACGTTTATAAGGTAAGCACCAATTACCTTTTGCCTGCATATATAGCAAGTGTCTTGTATTGCAAATTGTCCTCAGAAATGGCATTAGCAATGGCTTCGTTAGAATCCCACTGTGCACACTGTGAAGGTGAAGAAATCATCTCATGGTTGAAATACATACATGACCAAGTGATGGATAATCCTTTCCATGGTGAGTAAGGACAAATAATTTCCGAGGGCAGTACCTGAAAGACATGTTATCACAAACTTAGAGTTGGAATAATGGGGGGGAAATACTGGACATGAGGTTCGGAGATAGCCTTGACCACCTGTCCTGCTGTCTGAGCCAGTCTCTCCTTCCATTCTTTAATGAGGATGGGGGTGATGATAATGAGATTTCTTTCCCTTTTGCTCATTACTGAGTGCTGCCTCTATCTTTAACTCCACCATGCTGCCTGGGGGAGTTCATGAGGGGCATGAATAAGAGGACTTACTTTTTTTTTTTTTTTTTTTGATAGAGTTAGAGAAACAGAGAGAGAGAGAGAGAGAGAAAGGGCTTCCTTCTGTTGGTTCACCCCCTAAATGGCTGCTACGGCCTGCGCTGTGCATATCCAAAGCCAGGAGTCAAGTGCCCCCTCCCATTCTCCCATGCACGCAGCAGCCCAAGCACTTGGGCCATCCTCCACTGCCTTCCCGGGCCACAGCAGAGAGCTGGATTGGAAGAGGAGCAACTGGGACTAGAACCCGGCGCCCATATGGGATGCGGCTGCCACAGGTGGGGGGATTAACCAAGTGAGCCACGGTGCCGGCCCCGTAGGAGGACTTTCATACAAGTAGCCTGGGCACATAACGGGTACACAGAAGCCACTGGTTCCCTGAGCTCCTTCCTCTGACCTGATTTGATTCTACTCATCCCCTATCTTGGTTTTGGGGTATACTACCTCATAGAGTTATTGAGAGGGTCAACTGTAGTCATACTAATAACTGTGAAAAGGATCTGGAGCACTGTTAGGTATTACATGATTTTAAGGGAGGGGAATTTTCTAGAAAATACACTGTCTTTTCTGATTTAGAATCTGTACTAAAAGCAAGGATAATGAAAAATCTTTATTCTTGGCCGGCGCTGCAGCTCACTAGGCTAATCCTCCGCCTTGCGGCGCCGGCACACCGGGTTCTAGTCCTGGTCGGGGAGCCGGATTCTGTCCTGGTTGCCCCTCTTCCAGGCCAACTCTCTGCTGTGGCCAGGGAGTGCAGTGGAGGATGGCCCACGTGTTTGGGCCCTGCACCCCATGGGAGACCAGGAGAAGCACCTGGCTCCTGCCTTTGGATAGGCGCGGTGCACCGGCCACAGCGCAGCGGCCATTGGAAGGTGAACCAACGGCAAAGGAAGACCTTTCTCTCTCTCACTGTCCACTCTGCCTGTTAAAAAAAAAAAAATCTTTATTCTTCTAGTCATTTAAACTTTATTGTAAAGTACATAAGAAAAACAGATTTATAATCCACCTCTTATTATTACTGGTGCAGTCGTTTGAATGTGTATGATAAACTCATAGATCTGAGAGGCAGTAGAGCAGTGAGAATTATGTGAGTGCTTTTAATGAAGTTACTTGTTATGTGATAAGTAAATAATAGCTATATGTCAATTTTTGCTGCAACTTAAATACTCTTAATTATTGACATTTTGAAATGATAATCCATTTCTAACTAATACAAATTTCTTACATTTAGCAAATGTCAGAAACATAGGTTGAAATAAGGTGTATCCCAAAAGAGGCTAATTTGGGTAGCAGAATACTGAGGAGAAATTGTCTGCCTCCATGGATGTAATGCAGGATAGGCCAAAAGCAGGTAGGAAATAAGTGGCAAATCACCTCCAAAGCCTGGAGTGTCCTAGGTTAGACAGAATTTAATTCCTTTATGCCTTCAGTGCTATTTCTGAATATTCTGGGTAAGATTTTTTTCCCCAGAAGTACTGGGCCATTGTCAGGCTTATGAACTGCATTGCCTGTTAGGTTCAGATAGAGGCTGCCTGGCTGCACGAGAAGCTGTATGTGTACTTCAGAAGCATCTCCATCTTGCACAGGATTAGGGGTCAGGAGGAGAGGGGAGAGAAGCCCAGCCAGACTTCAGGGAAGACGATTAGGGGAGAAATATGACCAGCATGTCTTTGAAAACAAGCCATCTTCTGAAGTTCACTAACGTTGCCTGTTGGTGCATTGCTGGGGTTCTCATCATCTCAGAAGAAGCATTTTGCTTGCCTCATTGTACTTCACTACTTTATGTTTTTTTTTTTTTGAAGTTTATATATTTTTAGTTATGTGAAAGGTACAGCCATGCGTGCGCATGTGGGCACACACACACGCAAGTTCTCATTGCCAGCATAGCAGTAAGCAGTCTGTGCGCTTTGTTATCAGTTGCTTGTCACTGGATTGTTTCAGAAGTGAAGATGATCTACTTGAGTGAATGATAAAAAGGGAAGTAGCCCCAGGGTTGTGGAGGATTGGAGAGATGATGAAAACAGGGAGTACAATATTAACAATGTGTTTTTTTCCTGCTGTATTGAGGGATGGTTTCAAGTAATCTGGACCTCTACAGTCAGCTATGCTTTCGTCTCTGATTGTTTTTACTGCTTTCTGAAATAAAACTCCCAAACTAAATAAAGATAGTATAAATGAAAAGATAGCTCGATGATAAATACCTGTACAAAATTCCTATGGGATTTTTCTGCCATCAACAACTGCCTTATTTTGATATTTGACATTTGCATTCATTCTACCTCTTTAATCTTTCCCTGAAAGTGATGGGAAGACAAGAGCGGGTCAAGGTGTGGTTTTTCTCCATTTCCCTCTGGGATGATCCTTTATTTTGCAGGCACAGCAGAACTACCTGTTTGAATACCAGGGTTTTTTCATTTCCAGTTTCATAGAACCTCTCCCTACATATAAGGGGTCTCCCTCCATTGGGTTTATTCAGAAGAAACTTTTAGTTTCTGCTGCAAGCATGTCTTTGCAAAGTTGCAAATTCCCATTAACTGTTTATTCTAATACAGTTTCAAGCTCTCTACTGGTAGTATTTGATAAATAGCCTTATTAGCTTTCAGTGTTCCGTAGAAATGTATATATATCAACTTATTTTTTTATTTTTTTACTTTTTTATTTTTTTATTTTTTGACAGGCAGAGTGGACAGTGAGAGAGAGAGAGACAGAAAGGTTTTCCTTTTGCCGTTGGTTCACCCTCCAATGGCTGCTGCGGCTGGTGCACTGCGGTCGGCGCATCGTGCTGATCTGAAGCCAGGAGCCAGGTGCTTTTCCTGGTCTCCCATGCGGGTGCAGGGCCCAAGCACTTGGGCCATCCTCCATTGCACTCCTGGGCCATAGCAGAGAGCTGGCCTGGAAGAGGAGCAACCAGGATAGAATCCGGCGCCCCGACCGGGACTAGAACCTGGTGTGCCGGCACCACAAGGCAGAGGATTAGCCTATTGAGCCACGGCGCCGGCCTTATATATCAACTTAAATCACGAAATATACTTGGTTTGATCTGCCAGTCGTTATTTCCTGAAGTATATAAAAGCACCAAGCCAGTTTATTTTTAAAATAATTAATGATCACATAAGGCTACAGTAAGTCCTATGTAATCTGAATTTCCCTCGGCCTCACTGGCCTAAGGGAAAACAAGAATTCACATCAACAGCCACAGGAAAGGTTTCCTTGGCCCTCAGCTGAGCCACCTCCTGTCAGCTGTTGGCCCTCTACAAGACATCAGCCATCATTTTCTCTAGGGGTTCCTAAGTGAGGGCTTTATACGCATTCATGAGCAAGTCTGTCTCTCCCTCAGTTGTCCCGGTGTCTGCCATGGCTCTTCACCTGCTCTGGCCCCTTTGGTTGGTGCTTTCTCACCTCTGTCCCTACCATGCACCCGTAGCCCCTTCCTGCGCTGCTGGAGCAACACTGCCTGTTCTTGGTGCCTACTGATCCCCAGCAGTGCTGTGTTCAGATAGAGGTGGGAGAGGGTCCCTCTTCCTGCGTCATTCCTGGTCACCAGGGCATCTCCACTCAGAGATCCTCATGAGAAAGCACACCTTCATTTCCTGCTTCCAACATCCACTTCCCTCCAGTAGGGCTCAGATACAGGTCCCCAGAGCTAAGCCAATAATTGGAACAGACCTGTCCCTTTCCCACACTGTCTTTCTCCATCTTCTCTTTTTGTTTTCTTAACTTTCAGTTTTCTTGAAGTTGAGCTTATGAGAACAGATGGCACCACGCATACATGAGTGACTGTGTCTGGATGTTAGTATGTCACAGTTTAATTATGTATACACCTGTGGGTAGAGGGGGTGAGAGGGAGAGCAGGAGAAGCCCCTTACCCAGCTACACTAGGTGGGCAGAGTACATGATAGATGGTTTCATTTTTCTGAGAACTGAAGGGTAAGTGGCAAGATTGTCATTTCCTACCTGGAAGGTGTCATTAAAACGCTTAGCGTAAAGTACCAGGAAGAGAATTGAATCTTTTTTCCTCCTTGACTCAGGCTCTTGCAGTGTGGATCTGTCATTTATATCAGCTTGGGTCTTCCTCCTTTAGATCAATAGCAGAAATGGGAGACAGCTTAATGTTTACAGGCCTCAAGACATATCCTGAAAGTTGTACTTTTTATCTTCTCCACAGAAACCTTAATCATAGCTTGTTTCCCTTTGCATCGCCTCTTTCTTGAATGTTGAATGTAGAAACAATCATTCAGGTTTATTGCAAGGTTGTGACTGTTCACACAGGGCTGAGGCTGTTGTGGAATTGGCTCCTGCACACGTATGTGGTGCCTGGCTTGGCTATGCATCCTTGATCCCATTAGCTTCATCTCTGTCTAACAGGATGCTTTCTCCCTGGTAAGAAAGAAAGGCATTTAAACAGACTTTGCTCTCCCCATGTGCTCTGGGGGTGTCAGGAATGATTGCCCAGATTTTCTTGTCTCTGGGTTCATGATGCCTCTAAGGTAATTTTGGTCACACCAAAAATATTTTGTGCACAAAGGGGCCTGGGGCCCAGTGCTCCTTGGAGACTCCTTGGCCGCTGTATTTTCCACTGGTCATTCACAAGAACATAAGAGGAGGCTTACACTATGGCATAGTGGTGCATTGCTCTCATTCAGTACTCACCGTGAGCCAGAGTTTCTGGGATTTTACGACAGAGCTTTTGCAGCAGGTCGTTGCTCTGGTAGCACATTCAGATCAAAGAGGCAGACGCTGAGATGGTTGTGACCCAGGGCAATAATGCTTCAGTAGAAGGCTGTGAACGTTGTAGAGGGAGAGGTGAATGCTGTCTCAGAGCAGGAAGCCAGGGAGCCTTCCCACAGAAGGTGACACTGAAACTGGCCTTCGAGCCTTTGCAGGATGACAGAGCATTCGTTCCACGGAGAACAGGGCAGACACGCTCCAGGTGAAGTGTACAGTGGGTGTAGAGGCAGGGAGGCAAAAAGGATCTTTCCAGAGATGAGGAAGTTCCCGGAGGTTAAATTGAGAAGCCTTCTGAATGCTATGTAAAGAGGCTCTCCTAGCACAAGAAAGACTGCCTTAACATGTTTTTAAACAAAGGAATCAACCCGCGTAGCTGATGGATGGGTAGTCTGAGCGAGGCAGAGGTGAGTCTGCTCTAGCCACCACCAGTCTCGACCATGGTTTCGGGCCTTGCAGAGGCTGAATACTGCTCTTTGTCATTCCAGGTATCTGATCCCCTGCCATCACATGATGCTGAGTCAAAGGCGCGCCTTGAAGGAGAGGGACTGTTACTCTGTTTCTGCCGCCAAGCTGCTCGCCCTGACCCCTGTCTGCTGCTCCAGCGGGATCACCCTGACGCTTGGGAACCAAGAGAGGGATTATATCCTGTGGTCAAAGTGTACACAAGATGGTTCAGGTAGGAACTCGCTAGTGAATTTTAAATAAAAGCATGCCAAATTCCATCCCTCCTTGTAGTCTTGATATAATGTAGAGTCCCGTTGGTTTTAGAAATGCCCAGGAGGGGTCTTTTTCTCTTCCCTAAGAACTTACAAACACTTTGTGATAAGTGTTCATTGAAGACCTTGGCCATCACCTGGTCAGCTGATAGGGACCTTTATTTGAAGTTGGCTTTCTGGTGACTTCCTCGGAATCCAAACATGAACTCATGTACTCATGTGGCTTTTGAAACCAAATGGGAATGAATGGAGTGGAGTTGGCCAAATCCAAGAAATAACTTTTATTTTCATTTTCTAAGTGACTGATTTGTGGATTGTTTGCCTGTCAATAGTTGTATCACTCACTGTAGACCTTGAAATTTATGGTATGGCAACATTAACTGTTTTTGACAGGAGTTAGAATCCTCACCTTGTACAAGTAGCATTTAATTGACCATTCTGTCAGCTTTTGCCCTCCCCAGCATCAGAAGCTGGGCATCCAGCTTTGACGTTCATGTGGCTCTTTTAGTTCAGAGACGTTCTGCCTGTCCTGTGACCAGTAGGAAGGAAATGGCACAGTCCTGGGATTGACTCAAGTGTGTTCTGATATTCCTATAGCAATGTCAGTCTTTCCACTCTCCTACAGTCCTCTGAGGTAAAATGTATCTTAAGAGCCAGGCTACTTGACTAAGAAAATATTGGCATATTTGATATAAATGTAATTTTTAGAGATAAAGGTTGTCTTACTGGTTCTTTGTCTTTTTGTAAAATGTATGCATGGAAATGAAACATTTATGTGGCTTTATCTTTAAGATATTTTCTTGTTAGGCAGACCAGTGTGGATATCATGCTTTCTCATCTAAGAGTTACTTTTTAAAACATACTTCAAAATTTATGACTTCAAATGTACTATGAAAGCTGTTTCAGGAATGATTCTGTGGCTAACCTTGCCTCAGAATTCAGAATTCAAATTAAATGTATGGTTGTCCATTACTTGACACCTTCATTACCTGTGTGATCAGCTCACGCTTTGAAGAAGGTAGGATTCCCATTTACAGCTGAAACAAACTCTGAGGGAGGAATTGTGCAAGGTTACACACAAGGTAGGTTCCCTTATTTCAAACTCTGTCCCCGCTACTGCCTCTGGAGTTCCCTGCAGCAGATAAAAGCCCAAATGGATAGAAGGCTGTGTAGTAGCTGGTTTGCTACAGGATCTTTGTGCAGTAGTTAAGTTAGCATTGTGAGTCTTGACTCTGTCACTACCTTAGGCAAATTACTTGACCTTTCTAAACTTTTCTCCTCATCTCTAAAATGATGCCTACCTCAAAGGATTATTTTAAGGATAAATGAGTTAAGACTCCTAGTTCTTAGAAGACTGCCTGGTATATAGTATGTGCTTAATAAATACTTCTAGTGCAGGGGCCAGCACTGTGGTGCAATGGGTTAAAGCCCCAGCCTGCAGCACCAGCATCCGTATGGGTGCTGATTAGAGTCCTGGCTGCTCCACTTCTGATCAAGCTCCCTGTTAATGCACCTGGGAAAGCAGCAGAGGATGCCCCAAATTCTTGGGCCCTACAGACACATGGGAGATCTGAAAGAAGATCAGCTTAGGTCCAGCCATTGCTGCCATTTGGGGAGTGAACCAGTGGATGGAGGACTTTTCTCTTGCTACCTTTCTGTGTAACTCTGTTTTTCAAATAAATAAAATAAATATTTAAAAAAATACTGCTAGTGCAGACCTACATCATGTGATAAGAACGCGTTCTGAGAAATTTATGGTTAGGCAACGTTGTCATTGCGTGAACATTATGGAGTATACAAGTAATTACAAAGCCTGTGATGGCCTTGACATCACTGCAGTATAATCTTAGGGAACTACCAGTGTACATATACAGGCCCACTGTTCACTGAAGCATCTTTATGTGGCATGTGACATAGTAGTTTCTGATGGCTTTTTACTTAAAGTAGATAATAGAGCAACAGTAATGTTTTGGCAGTAGAGGGAAATGAATTTTCTCTACTCTAGTGATCTGAAAACTTGTCTTGTTAAGGCTTATTCCTGACCCAGTCTAGTAGAGATGCATTTATTTTTTAAAAAGTTTTATTTATTTGGGAGGTAGAAAGAGTGAGTGTGTGTGCTTGCTGGAGGCAGCCTCCATCTGTGGGGCTGGGATGAGGCCAGTGCCAGGCGTCCAGAACACAGTCTAGGTCTCCCATGAAGATGGCAGAAGCCGTCACCACTGCCTCACAGGGTATGTGTTGGCAGGAAGCTGGAGTCGGGGGTTGAAGCCAGGAATTCAACCTAGGCGCACCAGTGCAAGTTGTAGGTGTCTTATCTGCTGGGCCAAGTGCTTGTTCCCTGGTAGAGATTTAGGCTTGCAAAGGTGTGGCATCAAAGTAAGAACCGGGGTGGGGAGGGGGGGTGGCCTGAGATTGCCCGTACTTGAATTGTGACTCTGCCATGGTTGGTGTTGGGTATTGTCTCCGAACCTGGGTTTCTTCATCTGTAAGTAGAGAAAATAACCACCATATAGGATTAGTGGGAGAATTAACTTAGCCTTGCTAAAGCATCTGCAACCCACTAGATGTGTAAGAAGTGGTAGGACGTACGTATTTTTTCTTGTCTGAGTCTCCCCCCAACCCTTAGTGAAAATATAAACTTATGTGCAGGTGTTTTGACAAATGTATCTGTGTAAGGTGGAACTTTATGTCTATCTCTCTCAAATATATTTTAAAAATAAAGAGAAAGATCCCATCTGCTAGTTCACTCCTCAAATGCTTGCTATGCCTGGGGCTGAGCTGAGCCAGGATCCAAGAATTCAATTCAGGTCTCCCACATGGGTGTCAGGGATGCAACTACTTGAGCCATCGCTGCTGCCTCCAAAGTTTGCAGGAAGCTGGACTCAGGAGCTGGTGGGGTGGGGGGAGTACTGAATCTAGACACTCCCATCTGAGATGTGAGCATCTTAACCTGTGTCTTAATTGTTAGGACAACCTCTCTCTGTCCTGAAGTTGAAACTTTAAAAAAAAAAAAAAGTTTTATTTACTTATTTGAAAGAGTTACAGAGAGGGAGTGACACCAAAAGAGAAGTCTTCCATCCACTGGGTTCACCCCCGAGATGGTTGCAGTGGTCAAGGCTGGGACAAGCTGAAGCCAGGAGCCTGGAATTCTATCCCAGTTTCCCACATGGGTGCAGGGGCCCAAGTACATCTGTTGCTTTCACAGGTGCATTATTAGCAGGGAGCTGAATCAGAAGTGGAGTGGCTGGGACTCCAACTGGCACTCATTTGTGATGCCGGCATCATTGTAGGTGGAGGCTTAACCAACCAGCTGTGCCACAGTGTGGGCCCCTGAAATTGGAACGTTTAGCATCAAAGGCAGTCATATGGTAACATAAGCAGCATTCTTAGGTTAAAATGCCTGTTTTGGAAGCAAATATGGTTTTATTGTAGGAGACCCTATGATACCCTTCCCCATTTCAGAAGCCAGAGGAAGCCACAATGAGTTAATAACGGGCTTTCCTAAAAATCCAAAATTTTTCTTTGGGAAGCTGGTTCTCAAAGTACTGCATTATAGGCCTCCTACTTCAGAGTCAAAGCCAAACACTGCTACATTGTTACCTGCTCTGTGGCTAGTCCTGCAGGAGGTATGTTACCCACTGGAATCCTCTCAATACTGTGCAAGGTTGCTGTGGTTGTCTGTCAGGTTTCTAATGGCTGATGCCAGGTAATGGTTTGCTGATGGAAAATACTGGTTTTATGTCTTTGATGAGATATTCTTTTTTAAAATTAAAAAAGGAGGGTTGTGTGGACTGTGGTGTAGTAGGCTAAGTGCCTGCCTATGGCTCCAGCATACCATATGGGCGCAGGTTTATGTCCTAGCTGCTTTGCTTCTGATCCAGCTCTCTGTAGTGGTCTGAGAAAGAAATGGAAGATGGCCCAAGCACTTGTGTCCTTGCACCTGCATGGGAGACTCAGAAGAGGCTCCTGGCTTTGGATCAGCTCAGCTCTGGCTGTTGTGGCCATCTTGGGGGTGAACTAGTGGATGAAAGACCTCTCTCTGTCTCTCCCTCTCTCTGTCTGTAACTCTACCTCTCAAATAATAAAATCTTTAAAAAAAAAAATATATATATATATATTTCTTTATTTTCATTTTATGCGAGAGACTGTGATAAAGAGATATACTGATTCACTCCTCAAATACCTGAAACAGCCAGGGCTGGGCCAGATCAAAACTAGGAGCCAGGAACTCAATCTGGGTCTCCCACATGGGTGGCAGGGACCCAAGTACTTGAGCCTTCATGGCTACCTTCCAGGGTATGCATTAGCAGGAAGCTGCAGTTGGGAATAGAGCTGTGACTTGAATCCAAGCTCTCCTATATAGGCTGCAGGTGTTACGGGGGCAGCTTAACTTTTGGATCAAGTGCCAAACCCCGTGAAGGTGTTCTGAAAATCTAACCATTTTATTATCACTCAGAAATTATCGGGCCAGTGGTGTGGTGTGGTGGGTTAAGCTGCTGTCTGTAACACTGGCATCCCATGTAAGTGCCGGTTTGAGTCCTGGCTGCTCCACTTCTGATCCAGCTCCCTGCTAATGCACCTGTGAAAGCAGTGAAAGACAGTCTGTGTGCTTGGGCCCCTCCTGCACCCATGTGGGAAACCCTCATGGAGTTCCTGACTCCTGACTCCACCTGGCCCAGCCCTGGCTGTTGTGGCCATCTGGGAAGTGAACCAGTGGATGGAATAGCTCTCTCTCTTTCTGTCTCTCTCCATCTGTCTCTGTAACTCTGCCTTTCAAATAAATAAGTAGATATTTTAAAAAATTATTGAAGTAGAAATTATTGTACATGAAATTGCTGGCTCGCCAGTCTCAGCCTGAATGAGCCTTTGCCCGTTCCCTGAGGGTGTCCCCAGGCCTCTTGTGCTGACCGGTCTCTGCCTCACTGCAGGAGCCGTGGAGCAGCAGCTCCCTGAGGAGTTCTCCCCATCAGCCTGCATCGTGGAGTACGGGAAAGCCCTGGACATCAGCTACCTGCAGTACCTCTGGGAGGCCCACACCAACATCCTTCACTGCATGAGAGACTGCCGTGTCTGGTCTGCCCTTTATGACGGAGACTCCCCGGACCCCGAGATGTTTCTCCAGAGTCTGACGGAGGACGGTGGTGCTGCTCCATCCTACCCTACATTCAGAATCCCGCAGCAGCTCCCCAGGAAGACCGGGCCACCACTGGCTCCAAGAAAGGACAAGGGCCAGACAGAGCTGGAGTGGGATGACAGCTATGACACTGGGATCTCCTCAGGGGCTGACGTGGGCTCCCCTGGGCCTTATGATGATGTGGAGACAGCAGGCCCCCCTGCGCCTGTCGAGCCCCCCAAGCACATCCAGGAGATGAAGAGGAACGCCATCCTGCTCTTCAAAGGGTCCTACATCGAAGAGTCGGACTTCCAGGACGATGTGATGGTGTACAGGCTGTGTGCTGAGAAGGATTCTGAGGATGCGAGCAGTCCGCGGGAGGAACCCACAAGGCCGCCCGCCGCCGTAGCCCAGCCCCAGCTTCAGAGTGCACCCCTCAACAACGGCCCCCTCTCTAGCCCCCAGCCAGAGACGGATCCCGAGGAGGATGGCCACAGGGACAGCACAGACCTGCCTCAAAGCGTGTCCTCAGAACCAGAGCGAGACGAGGGGCCTGTGGGAGCCCCAGCCTCAGAGTTCGCACCCCCTGACTCTGAGGCAGAGCACAGTTCCAGCCCGGCACCTGCTAGTCCAGAGCGCGAAGATTTCATTGCCCAGTACGACCAGATCATCCGAGAGCTGGATTCCGGCGCCGAGGGCTTGTTGGAAGAGCATTTCCCCACGCCCGACCCCTTGCTTCTCCCAGAAGAGGAGCTTGGGAAGGAAGCCGGGAGCACCGAGGAGAAGCAGGAGCAGGAGGAGGAGGGGAAGAAGGAGCCGGAAGAGGAGGAGGACGACTTTGACTCCTTCATAGCGGAAAGCCCTGCCGTGGAGACCGTGCCTTCCCCTTTTGGGGTGCGAGATGAGGCCGCCTTAGCCGGTCGACAGCCCGTGAGGACTCAGAGCACCCCGTTCACAGGTGATGAGCTTGCATTGCTTTGTGACTTCTGCCTTTGTAAGTGCGTGTGTGTGTTGCAGCAAGAAAGTACAGCAGGTAAGGGGCACCACCCGGTCGCCTAACAGAGGAGGGAAACTGCTTTCACAAAGAGGAAGGAGGGCTGGCTTTATTTTCCTGCTGCCTTTCTTGATTGGTATTTCCATTTGCCCAGGAAGTTGGAGTTTAACTGTTACCTTTTCATAACTTCCCTGATATGCCCATGATCAAGAAATAGGACTGAGGGCCTGGTGCTGTGGTGTAGTGGGTGAGACTGTTGCCTGCAGTGCCGGCATCCCATATGGGCACCAGTTCAAGTCCCGGCTGCTCCGCTTCCAATCCAGCTCTCTGCTGTGGCCTGGGAAAGCAGTAGAAGATGGCTCAAGTGCTGGGCCCCTGCACCCATAGTGGGAGATCCAGAAGAAGCTCCTGGCTCCTGATTGGCACAGCTCCAGCCGTTGTGACCATCTGGGGAGTGAACCAACAAATGGAAAACCTACCTCTCTCTCTCTCTCTCTCTGTAACTGCCTTTCAAATAGATAAATCTTTAAAAAAAAAGAAAGAAACAGGATTGATGAAACCAAACAGGAATCCTGTCTCATTCTTGAATAATCTTATTTCCTTTAGTCTGATTTATTTTTCTCCTTATCACTTACTTGTCTGTGTGTGTGTGTGTTTTAATTTTGAACCGTCTCTCTCGTTAGAACGTGTGCTCCTTGAGAGTAGAATATATTTGTTCTCCGCCCCATCCCTAGCCTCTGAACAGTAAACAGAGCATGTTGAGTGATAGTAGCTGTATACACACATTGGAGGCCCTTGGGGTTTGTTGTACCTTCTCTGGGAGCGTGTTTCAGATAATCACAAAACCGTCATCTAAAATATGTAGATCAGACCCGCATAAATGCACAGATGTATCAAGTGATACACTACCAACCAGAGGTAGAAATCATGTAAGAGGCAAAGGGGTAGAATCAGATACCAGACATGTGGGTTTGATGAAGGAATAAGGAGGAAAACCTCATTAAGGAGGGTGGGTGTTATGGCACAGTGGGTTAAGCTGCTGCTTGTGAAGCCTATATGTAGTGTTGAAGTGCTGGTTCAAGTCCTGGCTGTTCCACTTCTGATCCAGATCCCTGCTAATGTGCCTAGGAAGGCAAAGGATGATGGCCCAAGTGCTCGTTCCCCTGCCGCTCATGTGGGAGACCCTGCTGAAACTCGTGGCTCCTGGCTTCATCCTGGCCCAGTACTGGCTACTGTGGCCATTTGGGGGAGTGAATCAGGTGGAAGACCCCTGCTTTCTCCCCTCCTTTCTCCCCACTCTGCCTCCCTCCCTCCCTTTCTCTTTCTCTATTGCTCTGCGTTTCAAATAAATAAATAAATATTTAAAAAAGGAAAAAAAAACCTCATTAATGGTTAACCTGAGAACTCTGAATCTGCAGTTGGTACTGCCAGGGAATTGCCACAGAGGAGAGGGTTCATTGAGGTCAAGGGTGGAGTTGGACCCCTGAGTAGAGTTCAGGTAGCAAGGAGAGGTGCTGGAAGGAGACAGCAATACAGAGGGGCAGACAGCAGCCGTGGAATCAGGCTGTGGGTGGGTCCTGGCTCTAGCCCCTACAAGGCACGTGGCTTTGGCATCCTCAACACTCCACTTGTCCCTTTCAGGACTGGAGGAGCTTTGGGGAGTCTTTATTCCTGTTCTTCTGAGTAGCCCTGCAGCCTCGGCTGGTGCGCAGAGAGCAGCTTGCCAAGGAGGGATCATGCTCCCTCCTTCCTGGGTCACCCCAGGCACGCAGAAGCAGCTGCCTTCTTGTCCAGCCAAGTGTACTTAGGTGATTTCAAGGAGCTTTTCTACCTTCATATATTTACTGATGCCTGAATATTTTTTCATGAATTTTTTTATGTATTTACTGATGCCTGAAGATTTATTTAAACATGGAGAGAGCTTTTAATTCCACAATTAAAAGGCTTGAAGTGCTAGTTGAGATAACATTTCAGTGTGAACAAGTTTTAATTAAAATTCAATCAGTCAGTCAATCAGAAGTAAAAGGGATTAGATAATCTCAACATTTCCCAGCTGATAAGGGGAGGGGAGAGGGAGAGGACGCCTGGGGAGCTTAAGCAGAGATGGGGCAGAGGCGGCCTGGTGCAGCCATCAGTCTGGACCTGAGGCCCGCCCCCTTTGCTCTCTCTCACCCAGCCCGAAATCCCCGCCTTGCACTGAGGCCTTTCTTAGGACATTGCATCAGGGCCTCCATGGTAAGAAGGTTGCTCTTAAGACGCCGGCTCTCTTGCAAAGGAGCTTCATTCCTGGGAATTGTGTAAATTGAGGAGGCAAAGTGTAGTTTAGGGCTAAAAATAAGCAAAAAGCTAATGTGACACCTTATTAAATGACATCAATATTTTACATGCGATATGCTTGAAAACTGATATATAAGGCAAGTTCTTTGATGCACACTGGTAATTATAACTGGAACCTCATCCTTTTTCCTCCTGTGAAACTGGCACATAGCTTTAGGAAACATCTTTTTCTCTTCCAGTGTATGTGTGCTTTGTAGCTTCCAAACCTGCGTGCTCTGTAGCGTGAGGCTTAACTTCCTTCTCTCTAGGGAACCTCGATTTTGGCTGCCGGGAATCTGCTTTCCAGCCACGTCAAAGCATTCTGTTTACCTAATTTCATTATTCACGTATGCAGCCATCTTTTATTGATTCCTCATATTTGACAGGTCCCATGCTAGGAACCGATGACACAAAATGAAAGGTGTTCTCAAACTCTGAGAGGAGACAGCAGCAAAGAACCTGTGAGTGCCCTGCTAGTCAGAGACTGGTCGTTAGTCACTGCGTGCCACGTCCGATGGCAGCTCCGCAGAGGGAGTGGGAAAGCCTCCCAGACGAGGGGCAACAGGGCGACAGGGGATGTCCCTGGGTTACAGTGGATAGCACTAGCAGTCCAGGTAGAGGAAAGAGCAGGAGGAAGACACAGGAACCCCACAGCTTGTGGGGTACAGACCACATGGGCCAGGGAGAGGGGAGAACAAACCATAGTGCAGTGGTGCCAGCTAATGGGTGTCTGTGGGCCAAGCCAAAGAATGGGGGCCTTGTGCCCCTGGCACTGAAGAAGCCCTTGCAGTGGTAAAGTTGGGGAGTGATGTCACCGGACCTGCGAAAGCCAGCCTTAGTAGCAGTGTGGAGTGAGCACTGCAGTAGGCAGAATTTGATAACAAGGGAGAGATTCTTTTTGTATCAGAATTCAGAATGCACCATTCTTCAACCCTGTAATGCTGTTTCTAGGAGTGGCTTCTTTGCCGTGATACATGGATCAGGATGTTTGGTGTGGCATTGTTTATCATGGGGGAGACCCTGGAAACAACCCCAATGCCCGCCTGATGACACTGGCTGACTTTATCCAGTATTTTGTGGCCTCAGAGATGGATTGAGACAGCTCTGTGTGTGTGCTGAACTGGGACAGTCCCCAGGAAGTATTAAGTGAAAAAGAAAGCTACATAATGGTGTTCAGAGTTGTTAATTATTAAAAAACAAAAACTGATAAACATGGATGTCAGATACACACATATACATACATGTGTACATATATGTGTGCACACATGCTTCCCTAGGAGGTGAGATAATGTGTTGGCCAAGGGCATTGGAAACAGAGATCCGAATTAAATTTCTGACTCTGTGTTGTTTATTAGCTGCCTGTGCTTAGCATTTCTGCCTCATCTTTCAATTGGAAGTACTTGCAGTCAGCATCCTGCGTGGGGTGGTTCTGAGCATTGAGCTGATCCATGAAAAGTGCTTGCTTACAACACTGGCTGCCACCTAGGAGGGGATGGATAAATGTTTGCAGTAACAATTCAGTTATTATATATGTAAAACTTTTTTAAAGAACACATTAGAATCTGTTAACAGGGGTTTCTTTCAACAAGGAGGTCTATTTCATTTTATACTCTTTATCCTGTGGGTTTTTTTTTTTTTTATGTTACCAGTTTTAATTTCTATTACAATAGAAGAACTGTCTCTTGAGTCAGGACAAGCAGTGATGGGACTCTGCCCTGAGGCAGTGCTGGGAGGTGGAGGCGAAGGCCCACAGTCAGGAGACGTTTCCAAGGTAGAATCTGCAAGGCTGAGGCACCAAACTGATGGCAGCAGCTCCATTCTTGGAGGTGGGATATGCAGGGAGAGGGAGCCTGGTTGGCTGAGGCAGGGGACAGGGCCCTGGAAGGGAGAGCAGGGAGTGACAGTGAGGGGTGCTGGAGATACTCATTCTGAAAACCTCTTTCATGGGTGGGAGTTTATCTGTCATCCCAGGAGAAGAGGGGGGAAAAACGCCTCCCTCCCCACTCCTCCCAAGATCTCTGAGTTCTCTGGTTTTTGGCTGCTCACCAGTTTCCCCTAGCAACTGCTTCTTGCTAAGTAGTTTTCTTTTTTTAAAGTACTGGAAATCAACTAAGAGTAAAATAGGGATTGGAAAAAGATATTTTACTTACTGCACATACTTTAGAAATTATAATTAACACCATTGGTTGGTTATAATGGCAGCCTTTTGGCTTGACCTCGTATTTGTCCAGCCAAGTTAGACAGTGATGATATAGTCTGTCTCTCTGTGGGATGTGGGGTTCAAGTTGTCTTTCCCCACCATATTGCAGTCATGATAGACTGAACAGGGATCATCTCCCTTGGACACTGCATGGTCAACAGTTCTCATGGCCATAGGGTGGTCCGGTGAACACACCTATAGTCTGGGCCCAGGGACGGGACTTTGAGGGATCACGTTAGGGGCATGTGGTTGACATAGGACTCTACCCAACTAAACATGAGTTCACCAACTTGTTTTTGCTGCATCTGGAAGGACACAGATTCTGAGCCACGACAAGAAACAGGTGAGAGGCCCTGGGGGAAGACTGGGTCCCAGGTTGACCAGGGTAAGGACAGCAGCCTCATACTTGTCCATGTAACTTAGAAGCCAGACTTGTGCTCTGATGCCTTAAGAAGAGTCACCAGTCAGGTACCAATGCCATCTTACTAGTTAAGTGATCAGTTTAAGTTCATAATTGATCATAAAGATAGGATTAAATGTCAAAGGGATCAAATAAATAAGACCAGTGTCTGCTAAAAATAATTGATAGAATTAAAAGGTAGAGAATGCGCCAACATGAGAAGCTGGATACACAGCAGACTCATAGAATCACAGATACCTTAAATAGCACTCTGGCCTCAGAATCAGCCCTTCAGGCATTTCGATCTGGCTAAAAAGCCCATAAGAGTATTTCAGGCATGGAAAGCCAAGACACTGTGGCAAAAAATGCCCTAAATGAAAGATCTCTGTAAGTGAGATCCTGGTGGAAAGAACGGGCCATCAAAGAAGGAGGTACTTTCTCTGAAGGGAGGAGAGAACTTCCACTTTGATTATGGCCTTGTCTAAATAAGGTTGGAGTTTGTGAACTCAAGAGGCTTCCATAGCCTTGGCAGCTCATTACAAGAGCCTCAGGTGATTACTGACGTCATAAATAAGAGTGTCAATTGTTAAATCAACAACAGTAGTCACTGTGCACTTGCTCCCCACATAGGACCTCTGTCCTTAATGTGTTTTACTATGAGAATTAATGGTAAAACTAGAATGCAAACAGTACTTTATATATTGTGTATCTGTGTAGGTGCAAACTGTTGACATCTTTACTTAGTATATACTAAGTTGATCTTCTGTATATAAAGATAATTCAAAATGAATCTTAATGAAGAATGGGATGGGAGAGAGAGTAGGAGATGGGATGGTTTAGGAGTGGGAGGGTAGTTATGGGGGGAAGAACCGCTATAATCCAAAAGTTGTACTTTCAAAATTTATATTTATTGCATAAAAGGTTTCTATAAGAAAAAAAAAAGAATCACCAGGGACATTTCTGGGGTTCTTCAAGGAAAATGCATTTTTTCACTTTCAATCTGTGGCTCCAGTCCAGAGTTTCTGGATGTGTTTGGCAAACTCTCCCAGTTGTTTTGTGAGGTTCGCCAGGGGCTCCCTGTTTGTAGTTCATGGAAGTGTCAGAGCAGCTCCGCCTCACATCCCAGGGACTGGAAGCCGAGGCTAAATGCCACACAGGAGGCAGGAGTGCCTCTGCCTTTTTGTCTTCATGAAGACAGGAATCCTGCACTTAAGCCTGCTTCTCACCTGCGTGGGTGAAGGGATTAGGTGTGGTGTTCCTGTGTCTCATAGGCAGCTTTGTTTCCTTGCAGAGGATTTTGTGCCTGTGAGTGATGAAGTCTGTTTATGTTAAGCTCCTGACGTTGGGGAAGTGTTCATAAGGCACAGTTGCTTACCCAGTGTCATGTGCTTTTGTCATGCATGTGCATCGTTTGGTGGCATCATCCATAGCTCCACTGGGGAAATACCAAGATCTCATTGATTTTGCTTACTGGGTCCATTGTATGGTAAAAATTTAAAAGCATCTTTGTGTGTTTTTTTTTTTTTTTTTTTGACAGGCAGAGTGGACAGTGAGAGAGAGAGGAGAGAGAGAGACAGAGAGAAAGGTCTTCCTTTTGCCGTTGGTTCGCCCTCCAATGGCCGCCCCGGCCGGCGCACCGCGCTGATCCGATGGCAGGAGCCAGGTGCTTCTCCTGGTCTCCCATGGGGTGCAGGGCCCAAGCACTTGGGCCATCCTCCACTGCACTCCCAGGCCACAGCAGAGAGCTGGCCTGGAAGAGGGGCAACCGGGACAGAACTCGGCGCCCCGACCGGGACTAGAACCCGGTGTGCCGGCGCTGCAAGGCGGAGGATTAGCCTAGTCAGCCGCGGCGCCGGCCTCAAGTAGTTTTATTAATACCAAGTTTCTTTCTTTCTTTTTTTTTTTTTTCTCTACCTCTGTGACCTGTAACATCAAGCACCTGTTGTTTTCTAGCGATCCAAAGCAGTAGAAGGTCCTTTTGCCTAATCTTTTTATGAACTGCTCTTGTATTCTTAGGGATTTTCTTTTTTAAGAAATCTGTGACACATCAGACTGTATTTCTTCTCTCGCTGACTCTCATCTGAAAATCAAAGATTGGCTGCCGAGTTACCAGGGCTACCAAGGTGATAGCCCCGGTCCTCATTCACCCCCATGCCTTTCTCTTTTTCCTTTTTTTTTTTATATCTTATGTCTTATGACTTATGACACTTGATGAAGCAGAGTCTTTCTTAGGGTGCTTGTTCAGGATAGTCTCTGTCCACACTGTTGCTTTTTGGTAAATATAGTTTGTATTTGCTTGGTATTTTTATTATTATTATTAGTAACACAAAGGTTCTTTTGTCACCAAAACTTTTAATGGCATCTAAAGTTTGTAGGAAACCTACAGTCCACAGCATCGTAAGGTGATAAATATCTGTTGCGGACATTGGCAGCCCGCAAGAAATAGAGAAACAGCATAGAAAAGATTTTAATTTTTGAAGATTAAATTATTTGATGTCTGTTTATTTCCCCCCCTAAAGGTCTGTGATCATTTTCAAAGTGTTAAAACTACCCATGGAGTCAAAATGTCAGCCCTCCCCCCACCTCACCCTGTCTTCTCTTTATGGTGGTGGTGTTTTGTTTTTGATTTGGCCGGAGGCAGGAGAAGCCTTGGCCACAAGTGTCAGTCTGGGTTTGCACCTGCTGAGCCCGTGTGCAGGTGTTGAAGAGAGGTGTCCCCACGTGCCCAGCCAGCGCTGAGGCCTTGCGTCTTCCTGCAGGTCCATTCATCAGCGTGGTCCTGTCAAAGCTGGAGAACATGCTGGAGAACTCTCTGCATGTTAATTTGCTGCTCATCGGGATCATTACTCAGCTGGCCAGCTACCCCCAGCCGCTCCTCCGCTCCTTTCTGCTCAACACCAACATGGTCTTCCAGCCAAGCGTCCGCTCGCTCTACCAGGTACGTCCGTCAGCTGTGGCCACGGCCTTACCTGCTGTTTTTGTGGGTGCTGATTGGCTGGGCCTTGTTTGTTCCTTTCCCCTCACGATTTGGTTTTTGCTCAGAGGCTCTCTGTCTTACTCCATTTGCTTTCTGTCCCTATCCTGTGAAGCTAGCGGTGTAGATTATTTTGGACAAACTGGAAAGCTTCATTTATTTGATGTTGTGAGGAGGGTGCCCTACCAAGAACACCCAGGCAGTTAAAAATGAGCAAATGCCTAATTTCATAATAGGTCCAGTAATGAGGGCTGTGCCTGAAAGGGGCAGTGATGACTGAGGGTGGAACAGCACTGTGAGGCCACTGGCATCCTGCATGTTGGTTTTGACAGGTCCTTGCATCTGTGAAAAACAAGATTGAACAGTTCGCTTCTGTGGAGAGAGACTTCCCAGGACTCCTCCTGCAAGCCCAGCAATACCTGCTCTTCCGAGTGGACATGTCGGATCTGACCCCAGAAGCACTAACCAAAGGTCAGCCGGCTCTCCTGGTGTCTCACCTCTCCGTAAGCTGTGCCTCCATTTCCCCGCGAGTTGGTGTGTGTCTGCAGAGGCTGTGTCAGCTCCTGGGCCAGAGAAGCATCTGAAGGTTGATTTATTTTTACACAACGAGGAGGAGCCTCCTCTTCATGTTGCTAAGCCTGAAAAAAGGCCTGCCTGGCCCGCGCCCGGCCCGTTCCCCCTTCAGAGGAGCCAGCAGGCGTTTGTTCTCCTCGCTGAGAGCGCTTCGGGGAAGGCGCGCTGTGTGGGGTGTTGTCAGGCTGGAATAAATCACACAGCACATATGGGCCAGGGAGAGGCATTTTGTGCACTCCTGGAGCCATTTTTTGGCCAGTCCTGTCCTGAGGAGGGCATCTGTTCTCTTTATTATGTTTTCAGAGGCCCTTGGGCCAGAAATAAATGTGCTTCAGGGCTCTGTGAGGTTAGGAAAAACCATTTGGACTAGGAGAAGGGAGGTTTATGCTCAGTCTGAAGTTTCTGTGAGTGCCTTTTCTATCAGCTGAAGAAGCAGGGCTGGGCGGGGGCCTTGGCAAAGCCGAGAGAAGGAGGCGGGTGGGTGCTGAAATCAGGCCTGCTTCCGGGCCGGGCCTGGGGAGCACCGCTGCTCTGCCTGGGTTAAGCTCTGGCTGGACAGATGAGATGACTGCTCTCCGCTGTGTCTTAGGTGCTGGTGAGTACAAACCAGGACTGCTCCACGTCACACTGGGTTTCCCTTATTTTCTTGTGGACAAGTCAGGCTTCACATGGCGGCTGTGCAATGGAAAGAGCAGGGCTCTCAGTCCTGAGCCAAAGGCAGGGGGTCAGAAGCAAGACTGGGAGTAAGAGGCAGCAATGTAACTCGGCACAATTTCCAGACCTTTAAAGGAAGCCCAAGGTGGGGTTCTGCCCCTTTGTAGCCATGTGATCTTGGTCACATGACCTCCCGGGGCCCCCATGTTCTCCACTTCTCAGTGAAGGAGTTGTCCTCAGGGTCTCGGGTTCTCTCTGACTGGAGCCAGAGTTCTGGCTGTGCTGAGCCTTTGGGTATGACAGGACTGATTCTGAAAGAAGGGTGGGCCATGTGCACTTGTGGAGGTGGGTTTGGCTTCCAGCTGTTGGACCTGGAGAACAGCAGGCACAGTCAGCCATGGAGGGAGAGAAGCTTCCACATCTTGGTGGTAAGGTGGGCTTCAGGCCCCTCGTGGCCTCTGTTAGCCACATGGGTGATTGTTCTGTGAGCTGTGTTCCTCCTGAATAGGGAAGATGCTTACATAACCCACCCTGCGAGAGGGGCTCCATCACTTAGCATTTGTGCCTAACAAACTGCTGAAAAACCCAATGGCTCACACACAGCCAGTTGTGATTATCTGGGGGCTGCTGATCTGGGCTGGGCTTGGCTGATTTTGCCTGGCCTTGCTTGTGTTCCTGCTGTCAGGGTGGCTGGGTGTCTGCGACGGCCTCACTGTGGCTGCTGGCTGGAGTAATGGGGGTGTTTCTTCCAGTCTGCTAGGTAGCCCAAGCTTATCAGCATCATAGCTCTAGGGTACCAAGAGTGAGAGCCGTAACAGAAAATCTTTTGCAGCCGAGAGCACTCCTTTATGGTAAGTTCTGCTATATTCTGTCAGCCTAAACAAGTCACAGGGCCAGCACAGATTCAAGAATGGAACAAAAGCCCCACATCTCATGGGAGTGGTTTCGGGAATTGTGGCCCCTTTTGCAGTCTACCAGACAGAAGGTGCCTTAAGTATCCTTATATTGTACTCTGGGTTTGTTCTTTTTCATTTTATAGTCTGTTAAGTGCTTTCTCTGGTAGTCCATTTTTGGTGTCAAACAGTCTTGAGAATTGGGCAAGAAGGGTACCCCTGACTTCACTTCACATACGGAAGTGGAAGTGGAGGCCAGGGAAGTCAGCCAGGATGCTGAAGCCCAAGTACGGAGACTGTCCTGCTGGGTCGTTGAGATCAGCGCACACATATTGACCAGCCTGGACAGGGTGGTGTGTTGAACCCAAACAAGCACGTTCAGGGTGGGGAGTGTGGAGTCACTCAGGCCTTGGGCATTGTCCTGGCTTCAGGCTGTCTGGTGGCCATGGCTGCAACATATGTGCCCAGAGGAACTGGTTCTCTCTGCATATGGTCGTTGGTTGTCAGCTAGGATTGATAGTTTTTAAGTCCTGTGACATTCAGGGTACCTGTAGGAAGCTCTCCTGGGACCCAAGACTTCCCTATTAATTGGATATTTTGCATTCATGTTCTAATAAGGTTGACCCTAAGGAGGTGTTAGCAAAGTGATACCCTTCCCCCATCTTTAACGACCTCTAAAATCACAGAGTGAGCAAGTTCTCAGTCCCCTTGTACATAGCTCCTTCCAAAGCACTTACTGTGACACAGAGGTCTTTGAATGAGGCAGAGCTGGGAGCTCTGTTCTCACCTGGTCACATGGGGGATTGTGATGTAGGCCGATTTTAGCAGCACTGCTGGGGATTTGTGTGTGTGTGTGTGTGTATGTGAATGCATCAAATTTTATTCTCCTAAGTTCTTGAATCGTCCTAGTATTATTTTTTTTTAAGATTTGTTTTATTTATTTGAAAGAGTTACAGAGAGAGGTAGAGACAGAGAGAGAGAGAAGTCTTCCATCTGCTGGTTCACTCCCCAAATGGCCACAGTGGCTGGAACTGAGCTGATCTGAAGCCAGGAGCCAGGAGCTTCCTCTGGGTCTCCCACATGGATGCAGGGGCCCAAGGACTTGGGCCATATTCTACTGACTTCCCAGGCACGTTAGCAGGGAGCTGGATCAGAAGTGAAGTGGAGGCCCGGCGCCGCGGCTGACTAGGCTAATCCTCCGCCTTGCGGCGCCGGCACACCGGGTTCTAGTCCCGGTCGGGGAGCCGGATTCTGTCCCGGTTGCCCCTCTTCCAGGCCAGCTCTCTGCTGTGGCCAGGGAGTGCAGTGGAGGATGGCCCAGGTGCTTGGGCCCTGCACCCCATGGGAGACCAGGAGAAGCACCTGGCTCCTGCCTTCGGATCAGCGCGGTGTGCTGGCTGCAGCGCGCCAGCCGGGGCGGCCATTGGAGGGTGAACCAACGGCAAAAAGGGAGACCTTTCTCTCTGTCTCTCTCTCTCTCACTGTCCACTCTGCCTGTCAATAAATAAATAAATAAATAAATAAGTGAAGCAGGCCGGGACTCAAACCAGAGCCCATATGGGATGCCAGTGCAGCAGACCAGGTTAAACCCGCTGCACCACAGTGCCGGCCCCTCAGTGTTAGTTTTAAAAACCTTGTGTTGCCCCCTTTTATACCCAGGGCATCATTTCCAAACCATTGCTAATTCTGACGTTCACTTCTCTTTCCTCCCTGCTTCTTGTTGAACCCAGTTAGGAAGGGTGTAATTCAGGTGCCTGCAGCCCGAGCTGCCCCATCCCGCAGGCCCTGCCTTCCCTTCGCCTCCTGGAAGCCGGGTGGGGTGGGAGGACGAGCCTCCTGCAGTGCCAGCCGGGCAGTCACAGTGCATGTGCTCGTGCCAGCTGCCACCTGATCCCCGGTGGCACTGCTGCTCGCGAGGGGCCAGGCTCTTCTTCTTCCCCTCGAGTACTTCCCAAACCACAGAATAACACTTCCTGGTCGCTGTTCAGACTGCTTTAACAGATCTGGTTCTAGAAATGAGGTCAGGTGGCTCTTTATCCCCTCTTTACAGAAAAGGAAACAGACATTATGTAAAGGGACTTCAGAAAGCCCCTGGGAAATGGAATTAAAGGATAAATTTATTTTGGTGCCCCCAAAATTGGAATCTTTGCATGTGAAGGACCAGCAAGTCCGTGGAAAATGCAGTGACTCCACTGGGATCTGGGACAGGGAAGGGCTGCCAGGCCAGGGCCTGGGGTGCTCATGAGGTCAGGGGTTAGCGGCCCCTGTGTCTGTGACAGCTGCCATCTGCTTTTCCCTTCTTAAGATGGGCTTTTGACTTGCTGAGGAGATGAAAGAGGGGAGGCGACCTGCCCGCAGTTCCTCAGCCAGCTGTGCCCCTCACAGCTGTGCCGGGGGCTCTGGCGGCTCGGCTGTAGGCCAGCAGGCCAGCAGAGACGAGGGGAGGAATTCCAGGCGGAGGAACCTGCGCGAACCGTGCTGGTTGGTGTGGGAATAGCACCCACGGGCGGCCCGCTTCTCACCTGTGTCTCCCGGCTGGCTTCCTTCCTGCGCTTAGCTGGGCCTTTTGGAGAACCACAATGCCTGAGGGCCAGGCTGGGCATGGCCTCCGAGTTGGTGGCACGTCCTCCCCCCGCTGTGGGCGCGTGCTCTGTTTCTGTGGAAAGGTGATGGCAGACAGATTCCTAACAACTTCCCTAGTTCTTTATGGATGTGATGAGCTTTAATCTAAAAGGATATTTAAAGCAGTAAAGTGGAGGATTTTTTTTTAACACTAAAGACTATAGTAGTGAGATGTGGAAAGTACTATAAATGTCAAGAATTTTTAGTACTGTAGTTAAGTAACACTCTGAGAAGGGTGTTGAAAAATGGGACTGAATTTTAAAAAGCAGCCAAAATAATGAAGAGCTTGAATATGGTGATTTAGGAGTAATGAGACTGTTTGGGGAGGGGGCAGAAGAAGGCATATGTAATTCCTACAAATATATAAGGGCTTGGGGTGCTCAGGAATTAGGCAGGGGAGTTGGACCGTTTTAATTAGTAAAACTGACTTGATAAGAAATGCAGATCACTTGAACATGTTTCATACAGTGTGGCCTCGCCTCCCCTTAGACCTGACGCTGAGCCGGGGAGCCCTGGGTGCCCTCTTAGACGTGGGCTCCTGAGCCACATGTCGCCACCACGTGCCCGTGGCTTCCCCATGGCGGCAGGAAGTTCTTAGTCTAGTACTGCAGGCCCCTAGTTCCTCTCCATTGTTTCTCTTCCTCACAAAGACTCTCCCCATCCTTTCCGTGAAAGGCTGGGGGGCCCAGCCAGCAGACGCCGGAGCACCAGCAGCCTCCGAGGCTGGTTGAACGCAGCCCCCCTGTGGGAGCTCCCCCATGCACAGGGCGTCCCCAAAGAGGCATCCTGGTGAGCTGGGTCTTCACCTTCTGGCAAACACGTGGGAACTGGAACACTTGCGGCCGTGTGTGCACCAAGCCCACTGCCTCCCAAACACACAGGCCTACACAAGTTGCCACGGGGTGGTACGAGGGCCATGGAGGGTTATCGTGACAGTCTTCTTTCTGGTTTCAGATTCCATTCAGGAAGCTTCCAGGACAGGAAGTGGCAAGACCCTGTTGGATGGCCCTCCGAGAGTGCTCCAGCCCTTCCTGACAAACAGAGCCAAGGTGGCCGGGGCGCCCCCACACCTGCCCCTGGCAGTGAGGAACCCCATGCTGGCAGCAGCCCTCTTCCCTGAGTTCCTGAAGGAGCTGGCCGCCTTGGCCCAGGAGCACTCCATTCTGTGCTGCAGGCCCCTGGGGGACTTCGAGGACTCCTACTGGTAGCTGCTTTGTTTTTTAAAATAGACATTCTTGTTTTATAAGGTTTTAGCGTCTGGACTGAATGTTAAATGCGAAGCTGCTTACAAAACTTTCTACTTTGATGTTTCCTGGCAATACTTGATTGTGGGAGGGGCATTTTCCAAGTGTCTCCCCTCTCCCTGGGTGGTCTTCCCACCTTACCTTACGCAGACTGTGTACCCCATAAGCCGCTTGTGGCCTTGGCAGGTTTCGTAAGTGCAGCTCTTCCTCCTCACGTTGTCCAGTTACAATTCACTCGCTCAGCTCACACCAGGCAAATACTGGGGTGCAGGATTTCTGAGTGCCCCGCTGTGCCGGAGGGGGCTCACCCCTGCGGGGACACACCAGCTCCTGCTGCCTTCTGCGTTTTGGCGTCCACTTTGTAATAGGGAAGACTAATGCTGGAGCCCCCCTCAAACAAGCACAACGTAGCACAGGTCCTTCTGAAAGCGACTTCTGCGTGTGTGCTACCCAACACGTGCTGCCTTATGGGGTGGGGAAACCCAGTGGCCTCCGTGCTCTGCCTGGGAAGTCAGATGCAGCAGGAGATGCAGCAGGAGCGTGCTGGAATGCAGGGAATCCTGGATGCTGGAGAGATTTCTCTCACACCGCCACCCACACTCTGGAGTTAGCCTTATCTCAGTGAGATGTGCACAAGATGACGTTTACCTATGCAAACTGTTACTTTGGGTTTCGGGTGCTGGATCAGATGAAGAAAGTGTGGAATCATGTACTTATGCAAAAAAGCAACCTTCATTAATTTTTAGTGTTTTAAGAAATCAGACACGAGCTTGTGGAGCTCTCTCACGGTGCATTGTTCAGGGAATGCACGGAGTGGGGGAGGTGAGCTAAAAGCACCCTGTCCAAACACCAGTAGTTACTTTGAATTGTTTGCTTCTGCTAAGGTGTTGTGCTCCGCTCTGTGCAGAAACAGGAGCCAGGCAGCTGGGATGTAAATGCAGAGGGCACAGGGAGCCCTGCAGAGCCAAGTGCCTGCCGCCACCTCCCTCCGCCCGGAGACAGAGACGCTGCCTTCTGAGTAATGGGCTTCATTAGAGGCCCCAACGTGATGCATTAGTGCCTCTGCTGCTGCTCAGCCCGCTCCGAGAGGCATAATTATGTTTAGAGCCATGGCTGCCTTAAACCACCACCAAGAGGGGAAACGCACAGCAAAACTGTGCACTAAAAATAAGACCCAAAAATGTGTGTGTGGAGATGAGAGCCCACTCTGCTCTGTTTGGGCCCCGTGGTGCAGGCGCGAGGCAAGAGAGGTGGAGGGGCCCATGTGTTTGTAGGCAGTTGGAAAGCCTGTCTCCCCCCGCCCCCTGGCTCTCTCCTGGGTGTCCCTGCTGAGCCCCAAGGGCAGCCGTAGGTCTGATGCCCCTGCCTCAGGAGCACGGGTCTGGCATCAGTCGGGGCCTTGGTGCAGAGGGGAATGGAGGCTCACCTCTGAGACACTGCAGAGGACAGCAGCCCTTTTATGTTCCAGGGCTCTCGAAGGGGCTTTGTCCTGAGACAGATTGAAAGCCAGCCCGTGGAGTGAAGGCGCCAGGAGACCTGGCGTGAGCTGAGGGAGCCCTTAGGAGCCAGCCTGCAGGAAACCAAGGTACCTATTCGAGGTTCATGTCTGACTTCAGATGGGTTTGTCTCGAGCTGTGGTTTGCCCAGCTGTAGTGCAGAGGTGAGGATGTAGGTGGCCTGGCCATCTGGCCTGCTGCTGGAGTCCATTAGAACCCAAGGTATACAGAGATGGGATTTAAGCTGTAATTTATTATCCTCTTTATTTTGCACAAATATTTATCCTGTTTGGACTTTACCAGGTCACAAAATGCTAAAGCCACATCTAGAAGCTGTATTCTTTAGCTGTTGGGTTTGATTTGCAACTCTATCCATTATTTGCTGATGGTATTGGGCTCTCTGCAATGCCTTTCTTTTATTACAGAATACCACATCCCCTTTGTAGAAGGTGGCCTTTGGGAAAGAGCTTGGTTTTCGCCTTTTATATATGTATAATAAAAGATAAATAAATAAATGTTTCCCCCCTGAGTAGGTGCTGAAGTCACCCTGCTTTAAAGGCAGGCAGTAGAGATGGTATCTGGGGTGAAGGCAGCACATGGGACCTCCCTTGGCAGGGTGCTAGTAGGAAGCTCACACGCTGGCCCTCCCAAGCTGCCCACTGGGATTTGGAAACCGATTCCCGTTTTTGAGCCCATCACAATCTGCCTCCAGAGGATTGGGCTCATGGTTTTACAAAAATGAAGTCCGAAAATTCACCTGCTGGTTGAGTGTTGCCTTACCAAAAGAAGGTATAGAGACCGAGGGCTCCCACTAGGAGAGAGGCAAACCCTGCAAGATTTGGAGGCGTGAAGGCTCCCTTCATATCTAGGTAGAAATGAAGATAACATACAGCTGGCGAGTGATGGTGGGAAGAAAATCATGGTTGTGAAGTGGACTATTCCAGCTCTAAACAGGTGAGGCCTTTAGAAATCTTTTAATGTTGGATTTGGGGGAAATGTTTAAAAGAAACTCAGCATGCTTAAACATGTGGTTTGAGAGTGGGCCCTTTGCTGTGTGACAGGCAGGCTCCCATGTCAGCTGCGGTGCCACTTACTTGCTGGGACAACACAGGGAAGAAACAGTGGATGCACAGCCTGTGGGGTAGGCCCTGCGCTGGCGTCACTGTGTAGATCCAGGTCCTGCGCAGGGAAGGGGAGACGAGGGTTCCTGCAGCATCACGTTAACCTCAACTCATAATTCAGGGTCTGATCTCAAGTTCCAGACCGAGTGGGTTTTGTGGTTCAAAATATGAGCACACTGGGATACTTAAAATTGATTTTTTGAAAATGGCTGTCAGTAAATGTTTTTACCAAAGTTTAAAAATATTTATTTGTGTGTGAGAGGCAGAGAAACCCCCAACTGGTGGTTTACTTGCCAAATGCCTGCTAAGGCCAGGAGCTTCCGGGGGCACAAGGGTCAAAGCTAGAGGGGGGATGGGATGGGTACCAGGAACTCATTTACTCGAGTGCTCGCCACTGCCTCCCAGGGTCGTCCCTAGCAGGAAGCTGGAGTCAGGAGCCGGAGCTGAGCTGACCCAGGCACTCCAGTGTGGAAGGTGGGCATTTTAACTGCTGTGCTGCCTACTCGTGCTTCAAAAATCTGAAACAAAGAAACCCCAAGTTAGGTTCAGCCTAAAGCACTGTTAGGGAGTTTGTTAGCAGTTTTCCACCTCTGCAGTGGGGATGCTGGAGTAAGCAGAGATGCGATTTTCCTCATTAGCTGGCTGCTTCCTCTTGCTGGGAATCAGGAGTTGAGAACCGGAAAGTACTAGGATATGCTGGGGTTGGATCTGATGATGGCTGTGTAGCAAGGATGCACTCAGGGCTTGGAGGGGCCCTGAGCAGGGCAGATAGCTGTTTATTTTCAACCCATCAAGACTCAGGGCCAGGGTGTCGCCAGGAAAGCATCCTCTTTTGCAGAGAATCTAGAACGGGACCCACAAACCTGCAGGCTGCCTGTTTAAACTGCAGCAGCCAGGAATCCTCAGGGCTCAGAGCTCTTCTCCTGGTCTGGCTTGGTGTGGCGGTCACATGAGCTGACTTCCATGCACTCCTTCAGGTTCAGAGGTTAAGGGCTGTGGATGGCTTTCTAGCTCTGGATCTGTGTCTGGGGAGCACTGCCTGGGCAAGGGGCCTGTGCACTGTGTGACACTACAGATCTGCCTATGCTCCAGGGCTCAGTGTAGTGCTGACCGTGAGCCCTGTTTAGTGAAATGGCTGTCGTGCTGGCCATTTGTAGGAAACACACTTTTGCAGGACAGCTACTATGCAGGTGCTGCTTCAGGTCACCATCCCCGCCGGCGTGGCTGTCCACGGCCCGAAGCGCTGGCCTTGTGGCTGAGGCCGCGGTAGCTTTGAGTCGTTAAGTAAATATTCGAGGCCCCTTCCTGCTTTTGCCATCAGTTGATAAATCATGCAACACTAATTCTCCATCAAATAGCAGCTTAAAACAACAAGGCAATAAGGAAAGAATGAAGCTACTTTTTTTTTTTTTTTTTGGCTTGTTTCTGAATGACCGTCATAAACCTAATGCTTTCGAATGAGCTCTCGGAAGACCAAGAATGGTTTGGGGGATAATTTTCCTTTAGTAAATGAGGTCTACATTCAGGCATTTATTAGGCCATTAATTGACTTGGAGGACAGATCATTTTGGAAGCTTGTTAACTGGATAAATAGGGCTTTTCAGCAAGGCTCTTTGGGAAAAGAAGGGCCAGGACACATTCAGGGGCCACCTTTAGGTCTTCAGCCTCTTGTACCTAGAATCCTAAAACTGATCACGAATCTGGCTAAGACTGATCCTCCCCACCTGTAGGTCACTGTGATTTTTTTCGTGTCTTAGAAGACATAGTTGTAAACCTGACTTGTCACCTACCCAGGTGAGGAGACTGTCAGTAGGATTCCACCTGAGTGTGTGTATTTCAGCATCTTCTGGAGAGGGTTAGAGTCAGCGCATCACTTCAGAAGCTGACAGAGGCCACGGAAGCTCCTGGGCCAGATAATTCCCTGGGGCCGAGGCTGCAGCAGTCATCTTAGTGTGCCCGCTGACGATCCCCTGGGGCAGGGGGCACATGGCCCTTCTTGCCCTGCAGATGCTTGACGGAATGTGGCGTCGGTGGTCTCAGTAAGGGAGGCGGCACGAGAGGGCTGCAGCGAGCCGCGGTGCACCTCGCAATCCAGGGCCAGCTCTGCTCACAGCCACGCTGCAGCCCCCGTGCTCACGGGGAAATAACAAGGCCTTCCAGTCGGTTAGATGTAGTGTTTTTTTCTTCCCCAACAGTCGCTATGACACAGCTAAATTCAATTGAAGTGAAAATACAATGTAAGCTGTAGGTCATGGTCGTAAGCTAAAACGGAATTGTCCAATTTGAAGCTGAGAGGAGGTGTATTCTTTCAAAAATGTCATGGTGTTCTTCCAGGTGGGCAACGATTACCAGGAAAAAGGGGAGAGGAGGAGCGGCTCAGTGGGAACATCCTTACCCTGGTGCAAGAATGCCAACTTTTTCCCACCTACACCTGGAGACAGACAGACATATTCACCTTGATGAATAAGTCAGGTCAGAGACAAAACTAATTTCTCAACCCAAGTGACCCAGAAATTAAGTCTGGCAGTTGTGAGCACAGAACCCCACCCGGTAGTTTCATGAAGTGAGTGAACTCTTACTGGAGACTTCCTCCGTGCTGGGGCTCACCTTCCCACTGGAACCCACCAACCTCTGCCTCAAGCAACAGAACACATGTGTGGGCCCTACCAGGCAGAGCTGGTTCAGGCCGCCGTGGGGAGCACAGTCCCCTCGCAGACAGCCTTGGCTTCAGACACCCACCCTAGCTGTGTGGACTGCAGTGCAGGCTGACAGTGGCCTCATTTTAGTCTCTCCCCCTGAAGAGTAAACAGAGGAGCACCCACACTCACGCACCCTGTGTACAACGGCAGACGAGCCTGGTCCTTAGGCGCAGGACCCCCCTGGGCGGAGCCCTTAGGGTCTAAGCTTGTGTAATATCCAATCAGGTTCCAATCAGATGATCAGAGCTCTGCCTCCCTTTTTGTCCTGGTAGCAGCAATAGCCACAGAAAATCTGGTTTTCAGGATTCTGGAAGTTGACGTTCAAGACAACAGGCCATTGGTAGAGCTGGAGGAGAATTAGCCTTGTAAAAATAGATGTTTTCATGCCGGCATTTTCTCTAGGAATAATCAGTCCATGAAAAAGTTTTCACTGACATCACGGTTTTGGTAAACTGTTTATCTGGATACACTCCCATTAAGCCCGCCCTTGACTTGAAATGACCTGGAAAGATCCTTCAGTGGGTTCGATGATCTAGAAGCTAGAATTTGTGATGAAAATGGGGTTCATAACACAAAACCAAACTGTAGTAATTCTGACCCAATACAGATCCTGCCAGAGTGCAGCTCAGACCCCTCTGCCCACCCGTGTGTATCGCAGAGGCTCACGGGGAGGGGAGGGAACATGCTGGCTTCCAGTTCTAAATCACCCGTTATGCTTGCCACAGCTGGTTTCCTTTGACCCAGCCGAGAAAGCAGAGTTAGCGAGGGCACTTACTCACAGGGTGAGGGAGGCCTGAGCTCGTGTGCACACTGGGAGCCAGAGGCTGGTGGGCGGTGGGGAGGTCTACTTCCCCCAGCTCGCCAGCTGCCGCCAGGGGCGTTTCCACCATCCTCAGCAGGCTGAGAAGCAGGCCTCCCAAGGTCCTGTTGTCCTGCTACAATCACTTTGACAAGCCTTTCTGAAACCAGCATTTGCAAAGCTGGTCTTCAACACTGAGCGGTGAGGGGATAGACGCGCACGGTGAACCAGTGGGTGTGGGCGTGCCCGAGGACTCCTGGCTGAGGCCAGGGCGCAGGCCAGCTGCATCGAGATTATCTTATCATCGGGTCCAGCGTCTGATTTCCCAGCTCTCTTCTCCCCGAGTGGAACAAGCAGTGTGCTGTCACAGCTGTTCCGGCTGAGGCTTGGGGCGGGGGTCATGAGCTGCACATCTCTGAAGTGTAAGTCAATTTTGTATGTGATATAGCAGTATATATTTTATTCAGTAAAGGTATTTGAAGACGTCTGGTGTCTAAAACCATTCATTCATTCTCGGCCCGTGCCTTCCGGGCTCTGTGGACGCTACCGCTTCCCGCCCTCCCTCCTACCCCCTGGGCACCCCCCCAAACAAAGGCAGTCTATGCTACACTAGGGGGTGCTGCTGCATTTTCTTCCATAATCTTTGAGGTCTAAACACACCGCGTCCCGGTGACCGTCTGTGCTCACCGCTGCTGGCAGCAGGAACCGCGTGCCTGGTGAGGGGCCGCTCACAGCAGCAGTGTGTGCAGTATCTAAGTCACCACTGCAGTGTCGCCGACGCACACGGGTGTGGCTGCTGCTCTGAAGACGCCGAGACACTGGAGCCACAGCACGGGGCCACGCCGAGACACCAGCTCCAAGTGCGGGGACGCCCGCTCCGTTCTGTCGGCCCCAAGGGCTCAGGGCGCTGGCGAGGACAGCTGCTTCTCCAGGATCTGCTTGATCAGGGCGGGCTCTGCTCGGCCCTGCGTGGCTTTCCGGACCAGCCCGATGAGCTTATTTATAGCTCTGGGGTTTCCCCCCTTCACGTCCCTCACCTGCAAGGACAGACGCAGTTTCAGAGGTGAGCCATGAAGCACTCGCACCTAAAAGCTACGCTGCGGGTGGGGGCGTTGGGCTCGCAGGCTCCTCTCCAAGCACCACTGGGCTGGGCTGGGCTGGGCTGGGCTACGCTACGCTACCCAGGAGAATCCCAGAGTTTGACCACAGCTTGCCGTCCCCACAGGAAGACCCGAATCCCCCTCCCATGACCCACCAGAGCACACAGCCGCCTTTTGCAGTCTTTGTCCGTCGCTGCAGACATGAGGCGGCGGCAAGATGGAGACGGCAGGCTCGGCAGGCTCATTCTCCTTATCAAGAGCTCTCTGCGGAGCTGCTGGTGCCCCAGCAAGCTGCCAGGGAGGGGGCTGCTCTGAACGTGACACAGGCAATGTCCCCCACTGACAAGCGGCCCTGGACAACCACAGCAAGGGCTCTGCAGCGTATGCAAACCCTCTTCCTCTCCTTTCTTCCCACTTCTGCAGGCCGGAAGCTCAGGTGTTTTCCTGGCTCTGCCCTGTGCACCTACGCCTGCTGGGTTAGCTTGGGGGCTCCTTGGGGAGTGCAGCCAAATGCCACATGGGTGCCAAGGTTGAGGCCTGGATTCAGTGAGCTCAGGGCTCACTGGGGGTAGAATCTCTCCTACAGGAAAAGTAGTTGTAACTCCCCTGTGTCCTGTAGTACAAAGCTGGAAGAGGCAGGGAGGGGACTGCTGATGGAACAGGGCGCCTGTGGCCGCAGCAGCGGGGCCCCCGCCTGCCCGCCCCTACCACTTGGGGGTGTCCGTCCAGCGTGGCGCGGCACAGCTCTTCCAGGGCCTCCCGGTCCTGCAGCAGTCCCAGCTGCTTCTCCGAGACGATCTGCGCAGGCGGCTTCCCCGGGCTCTTCCACAGCTCCTCAAACACCTGTGGGCGAGGCAGGGCAGCAGCAGCAGGTGAAGCTCACGCCGCCCCTGCACAAGCGCAGACTTGCAGAGCGCCCAGCCGGGTGCCCGCAGGCCGGGGCGCCTGGCTGCCTGGCTGCCTGCCCCCCAACCCCCACTCTGCGGAAGCTCGGGACGAAGCTGCTGTAGGTGGAGGCGGACAGACCTGGGTCTCCCTACACTGAGACCTCAGCACCAAGGACAGGAGGGCTCCGGGCCCGCCGGGCACCCCCCGCTCAGCGTCCTGCACAGGGAGGGGGCTGTGGGAGGCGGGGGCTGATCCTCGCTCCCAGGACTCCTGCCCACAGCAGTCACAGGGCCGGCGATGGATCTGTCTTGTGTCCACTGAACTAATCACTCGAGGTGACATTTTGGTGAAGGACTGGGGACACACTGTGGGGGGGGGGGGGGGGCAGAGAATGGAGAATAACTGGGCCTGCCGCCTTTACCCTTGCAGGCGGCTCCTGGCTGGCCTGTCAACTGCTACCGCTGCGTGTTTTCCCACTGGTAAAATGGCAGCACCACATCCCCAGCCACCAGACCCGAGCACGTCTGAGGAAGCGGGCCCCACGGTGCTGGTTCTTATGCGGGGCTTTTCTAGCAGAAGCACACCCACGAGGGAGCGGGCGCTCCTCGCTGTGAGCTATGCCACCAGTGCACTGGATGCTTAAAAAAGAAACCTAGAAAAACCCAAACGCTGCCACTTCCTGTTTGAAAATCTTTCTCCCGCTCACCACACAGGAGCCGGGAGTGGGGTCCGCCGTGGGGTGGGGGGCAGGCACTTAGGAAAGTACCTTTACGTTCCTCTGCACTAGTTCTTCCCCAGAAACTCCGGGATTTTCTCCCAGGAAAAAGCGAGGAGGAAAAACAAACCCTAGGCAGACAGACGCGCCACGCCAGGGTGCGCGCACACCCGAAGCTGACGGAATGCCCTAGCGCCAGCGTCTTCCAGCATTTTCCACATCTTAGGACCGGAACGATGCTATTCACTGCACTAGGCCTACAGAGTTTTCTGTTTGTTTTTTCTTTTTGGTGGGGCAGGGCGGGTAGGAATCAGGAGTGGTTTTTTCCTGTTTCACTGTAAATGCTACAGCACTCTGGCTCCTAGGTATTTGTTTTTTCCAATCCTCCTGCGGCCGTGAGGCCAGCCTTACACATTTGTATCTCTGAGCCCAGGGGAGGGGCGCCTTTAGCAGGTGCCCTGTCCAGGGTCACAGTGCAACGCCCTGTGGGTAACCTGTCCCGCCTGTGGGTGTGCGTGACCATCAGATGCAAAGGCACCGGTAGCAGGACGGCGAGCTTTCGGCGGAGGCTCCACCCAGGTGTGCCCTGTGGTCCTGCGTGCTGACCAGGAAGGGTTTTCTGAACATGGGAACCTCAGCCACCTCGCACTGCTGGGGGAGTCCGCGGTGGGAGTGACCACACGCCAGGGATGGCTGCGACATTTATCCACCAAGTGCACCCCCATCCCCTGGGCTCTCCCTGCTGAGGGCAGCCTGAGGGACAGAGGCGGCCCTGGGACTGGCCGGGAGCCTGCGTGGAGTCTGGTGGCCCTGGGACTAGCAGGCAGCCTGCGTGGAGTCTGGCAGCCCTGGGACTGGCCGGCAGCCTGCGTGGAGTCTGGCGGCCCTGGGACTGGCCGGCAGCCTGCGTGGAGTCTGGCGGCCCCAGGCTTTGACAGGGCAGAGCCACACAACAGTGATCCTCCCCGATTAGCCAAGAAGTGAATTCTGTGCCTGCGTCCCGGCATAAAAGCACGCCCGCCAGCACGTCACACTGAGTGACAGAGGTCACCCTGCGATGGCATCTGGGTCTCACAGCCAACAAACAGCTGGGCGGGCAGAGGCGCCTCGCGCAGGCTTACCTGTTTAGCTGCTGCTGACGAAATGGCGCGGGTGTGCAGCAGGTCGAGAAGCTCAGCCAGGGCAGAAGGTGGGACAGGACTAGCGGCCCCCAAAAAAGGAGAGAAGAGAAGCTGACATTTCATAACGGCAGGGGCCCGTTAGTGGTCCCTCCAGACCAAAGCTGTCCACCTGCAGGTCTACATAACTGGACCCACTCCCAGGGAGGAAACAGCAGGCCGACTGCCCTCTCGCTAGCTATTTTGTATTTTAGGATCTACCAGATTTTTGCGACTAGCACTGTTTTTTCTTTATTTGACCTCCAACACTAATGGCTGTTAGGCAGAAGTAGCAACAGACAACTGCTCAGGGCAGTCAGTCAGAAAAAGCAGGGACTGGGGCCGGCGCTGTGGCATCGTGGGTAAAGCTGCCGCCTGCAATACCGGCATCCCAAATGGGTGCCTGTTTGTGTCTGGGCGGCTCCACTTCCAATCCAGATCCCTGCTAATGGCCCAGGAAAGCAGCAGAAGATGGCTCATGTACTTGGATCCCTGCACCCACGTGGGAGACCTGGAAGAAGCTCCTGGCTCCTGGCTTCAGTCTGGCCCAGTCCTGTCTGTTGCAGCCATTTGGGGAATGAACCAGCAGATGGAAGATCTCTCTGTAACTCTTTCAAATAGATAAATACATCTTAAAAAACAAAAACAAAAAAAACCACCCACATTCCATGTCAGAGTACCTGGGTTTGAGTCATGGCTCCATTAAAAAAAAAAAAAAAAGGAAAAAAAAATTAAAAGCAGGGGCTACAAAATTCCTGAGCCATGAAGAACAGGGAAAAAAACTCATTAAGGAAATATTTGTGATTGAAAGATCAGCCTAAAAATTGCTTGAAACAAAAGAGCTGACCCAGCCAGCTTCTGGCGGGGGTGGGGGGTGGGGGCAGTGTTTCTGTGCAACAGCAATTCCTTCTCACTGTAAGAGGTTTTCTGTCGGGGACGGTGCTGGCCACTGGCCACGTCTTCATCCGTCCTCACGGCCCCTCCTCCGCTCTGTCCTCCGCAACCACAGAGCCCTCAGGGACACAGAGGGGTTGAGGATCCATATGGTATGTGTACCTTATTTACCAAGACCCCATGATCTAAAAGGGCAGGGGGCAGTGGGCGAGGCAAACGCCCACGCGACTGAAAGACACAAGCGAATTCCACTCAACCTGACCACTTTCCTAGCTGTGAACCCACAGAGCCAGGCCAGCGACCGCCATCTGTCTGGGGTCACCAGGGGCCTGGCTGTGAACAGACAGGGGTGACTTATAAATAGCACGCCGGGGAGTCTGGGTAAGTGAAGGCTTCGGAAGGCTCACTGCCACTTGAAAACACCTTCTCTTGAAGTCTTGGCTCCCCTGGCTTTCTTTGGAAGCTCTTAGCTAATAATAAAGAAACTGCAGCTCGGCCCCTTCTGCCAAGGATTCCCAGGCAGCCGGGTGGCGCGGCCAGGCACGGTCCTACAGAATGGCCGGCTGAGGTATTGCGTGGCCCAGGGTATGGGTAAAAGGCTTCCGAGCGCCTGGCATTATAACCCGGCACTCAGGACACCTGAGAGGCACGCTAATGAACTCTGGGAAGGAAGCGGGGTGGAAGGCTGTGACGTGAACCAGGGTCCTTCCCAGCCTGCCATCTGTACGGCCAGGGCATGAGCACCCAGGTTCTTCCCAGAGCCTGGGTCGCTCGGACGCTCTCAAGTCCGAAATGCGACGGCCAGTTCCACAGCACTGGCTGTGTGCGGGCCCACGGAGAGCACGGAGGGCCGCCTGGATTTCTCGAGCAGGCCCGGGAGTCCAGGCTGTCCCAGCACGCCGGGGCTGCTGTGACAACGGCACAGACAGCAGAACCCGAGCTGTCACAGCTCTGGAGGCCGCACGTCCATGCTCTGGGCGGCGGCAGAGGGTGCGGGGAGGGCCCCGTCCCCGGCAGGGGGCCTGCTCTACGTGTGCGCATGTCAGGGAGGGGACCTAACCACCCCCTGAAGGCCCCACCTGCTAGACCCTGACTTCGGGCTCAGGACTTGAACGTGACACATTCAGATCACAGCAGTGACATAAAGGACACGGGAGTGCGGAGGGGCAGAGGAAGATATAAAATAACTGAAACACTTAGCCGTGGAAACGTTCACCTGACTTCACTCATCAGGCCATCGACGTCCTGTGACATCTCTCGCCCCCTGGGATTCCTGGTCCCCTCTGTGTGCCCACAATGCTTGCCAAAAAAATGAGTGCTGTTTGTGTCGCGGGATTTCCGCCACCGACAGGGCTTTCTGGCATACCGCACACACGATCGCGGATACGCCAGGGCCAAGCATGGGGAGGGTGACAGGCGCTTCTGTCACCCCAACCACCAGAGACCCCCTGGGCTGTCAAGTAAACAAAACCATCCGATCGGAGACCTGGCGGCGGCCGAGGCACACGCTACACACGTGCTGCCGTCAGAGAACGCTGGTTTCCAGACGGGGACTGTGTCTCCCCCAAAGCGCCTGACGCCGCAGGCTTAAGCTGTGTGCACCTGCCTCTCTTCCTCCAACTGCCCCAGGCCAGCCTGTTATGGAGCGGGCTGGGGGTGGGGAGAGCAGTGGGATCATTGCAATCTTCAAGTTTCCTTTTGGGATCACGACTCCCATTTCCAACTTGTACTTCCTAAGCATACGTGCCGACATTTCTGCAACAGGACCCGGCCTGGACCTCGCTTCCCCTCCCTACTTCTTCCCTTCCATCCCCATCTCTTCCCTCCCCTCCCCTCCCCTCCCCTCCCCTCCCCCAGTGAAACCTGCTGCCCCTCTCCACCCCACCCCCACAGACTTCAGGCCCCAAGCCTCCCTCTCTGCCTGTGTTGACACCAGCCGTCCCTGGAGGGAGACACTGGATCCTGACCCTCCGGGGGGCACCTGCTGCTCCTGTTCATCTCACAGATTCCTGGAGTACTGAGCAGCTGTTCAGACCACCCAGCACCCACCCTCACCTCCCACTCTGTAAGGACATCAGCCTGGGCAAGCTCCAAGGCTTCCACAGGTGCCTCCGGCCTCTTCCATCAAAGCGCGCTGTGCCGGAACCCCTTCCCTTTGCACTCCCACGCGTCCTCCTCTGAGGCTCACCTCTGCTGTGGCGGCTTCACTGTCACACTTCACAAGCGCCACACCCTCCGCCCTGGACCCTCCGCTCCTGCTCCTGCCCGGCTTCCCAGGTGGCTCCCATCTACCCCGCAAGCAAAGGCCTCTGCCTTCCAGCCTGTCCCGTGCAGCCCTGACCCGTGCACAGACGCTTGGCGTTCCCTAGTCTGCTGCACGCACAGCCCCGTGAGACCCCTCCCACCTGGACCTCCAGAACCTCCTCCTGCTCCTCAGGGTGCGCCTGGGCCCAGGGCTGCCACCACTCTGCTCCCGAGAGGCCCCCGACCCCGCACCCGCACCCAAACGTGTTCTGAACCGGGGGAGAACTTCTGGAAAGCACCCAACAGCTACAAGGCCCTGTGAGCTGCACACGGTCTCTGCCACACCGAGGGGAAAATCCAGCTATCCACGGGCTGCACCGAAACAGGCCAGAGGCCCCCACAGCACAGCCGCCGACCCTTATTCTCACCCAAGCTCCTCTTCACAGCCGGCTCCCGGCCATCACCCCGCTCACTACCCTGACCGACCACAGCCCTGCGCTCTGGTCATGGGGCGGCAAAGTGAGCACCTGTCCTCCTTAAATGTCCACTACACATCCAGAAGCCCCAAATCTGAAAGGCTCCCCCAATCCCAAGCCTTTTGAGCATCATGTTGGAGTCCAGGGAGTTCCATATCAACGAGCATTTTGGATTTCAGATGTTCGGATTAGGGATGCCCGCTAAATCTGTTCCAAATCCAAGATCTGAAACCCTCCTGCTCGCCAGCATTTTGGATATGGGATCTTGACCCGTATCATCAAAGCCTAGTGATCAAAACCTTCACTGACGTCACCCCCGGCACCACACTCCCAGTGCCACCATTTCTCACGTGGCTGTGGCTGCGGCCACGCCGGGCTCCATGGGCTTCTAGCACACGGGGGCTAACCCACACGTCACACTGCTGGGCTCATCTTCGTGCCAGCACCAGTGCCCTCGGAGCTCCAAGGCCCAGCAGGGCAGCTGCACTTGCTGATGTCCCCACAGGACCCCCAGCCAGGGAATCTGCACGCTCCCTGTTCTTACCTAATCAAAGCTGTTAGCAATGTAGAATGAGCTTTAAAAAAAAAAAAAAAAAAAGGCCTCTTAAAGCCAATGCCTTCAAAATAACTAAAAAGCCAAGTTCCACACGTGCTTTCGTGCCTGGGCCCTTTAAATGCCACCCTGCTGAGGGGTCTTGAAGGAGGAATGTGCATCTGTTCCTCGCCAGGGTAGCACAGGGGCCTGCGGCTGGCGGGATAGCCACTGGCCCCAAGCCCAGGAGACGGCGGCCCTGCGAGTCAGGCTGCCGTGTCCAGCCCAGCTAAGCATCCCTGCGTGACGCGGAAGCACGGCGGCCATGGCGTGGCTTTGCCTCGTGGTCGGTTCTCTGTAAGCTGGGACCCGGCGGCGGCTGAGCTCCCGCTCTCCTCGACTCTGAAGCAGTCAGTGCTCCCGTGTTGAGAACCGGGTACCCCCCGGCTTCCTAGACCTCTGGTGCTTAGGAATGTCTGGGTAAACACCAAGGGCTCCAAGTTGACACAACAGGCTAATTCACCCCTCAGCTCCTTCAGAGACCGCCACGGCGGCTGTTAGCAAAGCCCTGACTCACAGCTCATCCTGTAGAGCAACGTGACCTGAGAGCGGGGCCCGGGGCGTCCAGTCCACGCAGCTGTGCCGCACGAGGGGGGTCGCCTGTCTCTCACCGAGTCGCTGTCCTCAGCCAGGTCAAAGAGCTGAACCTGAAGACTCCTAACGCAGTTCCTAAGCCCACGTTCAGCAGCTCCGTGAATTATCACCAACAATACGGAAACACGTATGCTGAAAGCTAAGAGACTTCTGTTTTCTCCTGAGGCTCAAACAGCTTTCTGGGTCACTGAGGCTAACACAGCCTCCCCCTTCTGCGCCCACCGCACTGAGCACAGCTCTGGAGCAGGGAGCAGGCCTTCCTGCCTTCAGTTCAAACACCATGCGCACGCTAGTGCCCTAGGAGACCGACAGTATCTCGGGAGCTGGGACCAGGTCCTGTTCATCCCCACACACGAACTGCAGAAGGCCACTGGGAACCCATCCCACAGGCTCCCAGCTGAGGCCCATCATGTACCCAGCCACATACCTGGCCGCACCGCCCAGCTGTGCCCGTGTGTACAGCCATCCTCACCTCCCAGCTGTGCCCGTGTGTACAGTCAGCCTCACCTCCCAGCTGTGCCCGTGTGTACAGTCAGCCTCACCTCCCAGCTGTGCCCGTGTGTACAGTCAGCCTCACCTCCCAGCTGTGCCCGTGTGTACAGCCATCCTCACCTCCCAGCTGTGCCCGTGTGTACAGTCAGCCTCACCCCTCAGCTGTGCCCGTGTATAGCCATCCTCACCTCCCAGCTGTGCCCGTGTGTACAGTCAGCCTCACCCCTCAGCTGTGCCCGTGTATAGCCATCCTCACCTCCCAGCTGTGCCCATGTATACAGTCAGCCTCACCTCCCAGCTATGCCCGTGTATAGCCATCCTCACCTCCCAGCTGCGCCCGTGTGTACAGTCAGCCTCACCGCCCAGCTGTGCCCGTGTGTACAGTCAGCCTCACCCCTCAGCTGTGCCCGTGTGTACAGTCAGCCTCACCCCTCAGCTGTGCCCGTGTATACAGTCAGCCTCACCCCTCAGCTGTGCCCGTGTATAGCCATCCTCACCTCCCAGCTGTGCCCGTGTGTACAGTCAGCCTCACCCCTCAGCTGTGCCCGTGTGTACAGTCAGCCACACACCTCAGCTGTGCCCGTGTGTACAGTCAGCCTCACCCCTCAGCTGTGCCCGTGTGTACAGTCAGCCTCACCCCTCAGCTGTGCCCGTGTGTACAGTCAGCCTCACCCCTCAGCTGTGCCCGTGTGTACAGTCAGCCTCACCGCCCAGCTGTGCCCGTGTGTACAGTCAGCCACACCCCTCAGCTGTGCCCGTGTGTACAGTCAGCCACACACCTCAGCTGTGCCCGTGTATACAGTCAGCCTCCCTTGAGCCGTCTTCACCTCCGGCTCCTGCCAGCCACATTCCTCCTGTTCCCGCATTGCTGGCTCTCTGCCACTTCCACACAGCGCCGTCCCCTTTCCCTGGGCGTCACCCAGTCCCTCCCTCCCTAACCCGTTCCAGCCTTCTGTGTCCCCTCCACAACCTCTCCAGAGACTGTGCCTTCACTGAGTGGCCACAGTGCTGGGTGTAGAGGGGGTTTGAGTGACAGCTCACAGCTGGGAGGGCAGTCGGGGGCCACAGATGCCACACGTGTTCATGTGGTCACACCAAGACCCAGGGGCACGCAGCTGACTCCGAGCACAGCTCGCTCTTGAAGTCAACGACCTTTTGGAACCTCACATAGTAAATGCCTGTCTCCGTGCCACCTCTGCTGGGCCGGGCTGCTGCTCAGAGAACGGCAGCCACCCACCCGGCCCACCTGTCTATGTACTGCAGCCTCGCTGTGGCGCCTCTGCGCTGAACAAGACTCTCCTTCATTCACCTCGCTGCCCAGGCAGGAAACCCACCAGCCATGGCGGCTGGGAGGACTGCCATCAGCCTGCCCCACCTCCCTGCTGGTGCGCGGCCGCCGCGGCTCAGGCCCAGACATGTCTCCCCGGCACCCCTGTGAGATGGCCCCAACCGCCTTCTGGCCTCTAGTCTGCCCTGCCCTGCTGATGGCTGAGTGTCTGTGTCCCCAAGAAATACAGGGGCTGAAGGCCGCCCCTGTGACGTGAGGGTCCAGGAGGTGGGGCCTCGGGCGGGGGATTAGGTCTAGACCTCATCAGGCTGAGGCTGCCCTTGTAGGAAGAGACTAGGACTCTCTCTCCGCCAGCACGTGAGGACACCGACAAGCCAGGAAGGGACAGCTCGGCCGGCCCCTCCATCGGGGACCCCGGGGTGGTGGGAGGTCAGCACGTGCCACTCAGGCTGCCAGCCTCACTCAGGAACTCCAAGTTCCCTTGGCGTGAAACTGGGGCCAACCTGGGATCCTGAGCTTCCAGGGTTGTTGATAAAGCCCCCCGGTACTCCAGTGCCCCCCACCCCCATCTCTGTGATGTGGCCCCTCCCGTCCTGCTCGCCTGCCTTGGCACCCTGCAGGCTGTAGCTGGCCTGCGCTCACTCCCCAAGGCTTGGCCCCAGCATCCCCTCCCCGGGCTGGCGCGTGGTGGGGAGCCTGGCCATCCCCGGCCCGGTCGGGTCATCTGCCTCCAGCAGCACGGGGCAGGCCGAGGTGCCTGCCTGTTGTCTCGGGAACGAATCCCCACAAGTTCCCAGACTCCTCGTCTTATTCCTCTTTAAGCCGCCAGCCCCTCAGCACAGGACAAAGGCCGCAGTGCAGTGTCAGAGCCTCCAACACACAAATGCGTTGTCAGATGCGCTGGAGAACATTTTTAGAACCTGGAGTTCACAGGGGACGTTTGTTGTGTCTGGGGGAGCAGAAAACGGGCCCCGCCCTCTCTCGGCGGCTCCCGGACCCAGGGGCAACGATGAAGGCGGACAGAAATCCCAGCACTCTCACCTCTCGCTGACTGCAAGGTTCTGCTGCTTTAAATAGCCCAGGAAAGTGTTGAGGACCCAGCTCACCACCTTTTTTGGCTCTGCCCTAGTTTCTTTTATCACATTTTGGAAGAACTCCAGTAGGCCAACTTCATTCTGTTAAAAAAGGAAAAAAAAAAATAAAGAATTACATAAAAACTCCCCTCAAAATGAAAGATCAGCAATTCTGCAATGTCCCCCTTTGCTTCCTCTGAGACAGCCACTCTCTGCCACACGCTCAGAGGGCACCAGAAAATTCTCATCACGTCCCCGAAAGGGCAGGCGTGCTGCTTCTACTACGGCCACTGTGCGTTCACGTGGCATCTGCTCAGGGCGACGAGCCAGTTCAGAGGCCTTGACCTTGGCGGCCAGAGGGCAGTGAGGTCCACCAGTCCCCGCACACCCTCTGTCCTCGGGGCTGGGCCGCAGTCTTTATCCTGGAGCTGCAAACCTGGCCTGCGACACCAAGCCTAAGTTTAAGGCCGGTCCCTTTTCTGTCTTGTCCTCTGCTGAGTGTCAAGATAGAAGGAACCAAGAGAATATTCCACCTCTGGAAAAATCAGAAGTGGACTGCAGCTGTATTCATCGTCAGAGCACCCCCAGAGGTAGACGGGAATGGTTCTGGAATGTTTTCCAAAGGGAGAACACAGACGCACATGCCCTGATTAGGCCAGCCACACGTGGAGGGAGCAGCCGGCCTCCAGTTCTGCTCATGCAAACAGCCAGCTGACTGTCTCACGAACACGCCTCTGGCCACCCGCGCCCACCAGCTCCGTGGGCCTGGCTCCCACTCTTGCTCTCTGTGGAAGCAGAGCTGAGTCAGGGCTGGGCCAAGGTGAACAGATGCAACGTCTCCCGTCACTGCGAACGCCTGTGAAAGTCACACGGGCGCCATGGTCACCGTCAAACACTGCAATTCCAGTGGTGCTGCCTACCAGTGACCTGGGGCGCTCATCAATCACATACTCGGGCCAATGTCGCAGAACCAAGACATTCCGCTGAGTCCTCCCTGAGGATTTCTGTTAAGGAATGGAACTTGTGCCACACGCGTGGGGAGGCGGTGGTTGCCAAATGCAGAGGGTACAATTTTAATTAGCAGACTTCCCTCACCTGCTGCAATCTACTCAAACCACTCTCCTTGAAATATTCCAGTTCACACTGCAGCTAAGCCCCCCCCCCCCCCCCCGGTCAAGAGACCCTTCGTTAGCCAAAAGAACTTTCCAGAAAAATAAGAATCTCAGAAGAAACCAGACATCCTTATTACAAAAGTGCTCTCAAGGTTTCGCTACTGTAGCAGCTGTAATATGTACTCAGGCACGTAGTCACTAAAGGAGAAATTCCATAACAATAAATCCATACACTTTTCGTCACAGATAAATTCTCTGGTGACAAGTCTACTGCACAATCTCATAATCATCTCGAATCTCCTTTCAAGCCAGTGCTATTATTCCACTCTTGCTAGAACAGGGCAAAGGCCGCTACGGCAACCGCAGACTGACTGCAGAGAAAGCCTGGGTCCGGGCAACGAGAGGGGAAGTCTTATGGGGAAGTCTTTTTTTTTTTTTTTTTTTTTTGACAGAGTGGACAGTGAGAGAGAGAAACAGAGAGAAAGGTCTTCCTTTGCCGTTGGTTCACCCTCCAATGGCCGCCGCGGCCGGCGCACCGTGCCGATCCAAAGGTAGGAGCTAGGTGCTTTTCCTGGTCTCCCATGGGGTGCAGGGCCCAAGCACCTGGGCCATCCTCCACTGCACTCCCTGGCCACAGCAGAGAGCTGGCCTGGAAGAGGGGCAACCGGGACAGAATCCGGCGCCCCGACCGGGATTAGAACCCAGTGTGCTGGCGCTGCTAGGTGGAGGATTAGCCTATTGAGCCACTGCCGGCCCTTTTTTTTTTTTTTTTTTAAGATTTATTTGTGTGTTTGAAAGAATTAGAGAGAGGAAGAGACGGAGATAGAGAGGGAGAGAAAGAAATCTTTGATCCACTGGTTCACTCCCCAAATGGCCACAACAGCACTGGGCCACACCAAAGCCAGGAGCTTCTTCTAGGTCTCCCATGTGGGTGCAGGAGCCCAAACATTGGGGCCATCTTCTGCTGCTTTCCCAGGTGCATTAGCAGGGAGCTGGATCAGAAGTGGAGCAGCTGGGACTCGAGAAAGCACCCGTATAGGATGCCAGAGTCGCAGGCGGTGGCTTAACCAGCTACGTCCAGGTGCTGGCCCGGAGAAGTCTTCAAACTTCCACAATGGTACGTAAGTCAGCAGGCAGGTGGAAAATCGAAATCCGGGCACGATTCCCTTTGTTCTCACCGAGACAGGCTGGCCCGCACGTGACGCGAGCCACAGGAGGAGCGCTCTGCGCTGTGCCAAGGTGAGGTTTTCTCAATCCACCTAGAAACAATGCACTTGAACGTGCAGGTGAGCCTGAGCTGCTGGGACATGATGAATTTCCACTCCTCTCCCCGTGGTGGCTCTCTTACTGGACGGATCCCTCAGCAAGTCAGATTCCTGTTTGTCTTTTCGTGTCAGCGCTGTGCTGAGGCCTCTCCGAGCTGGGACTGCGTACTCCGCCAGGGGACACATGGTTTCCATCCACAATTGAAAGCCGACGTGCGTGTGCGATGGGGTGGGGCCGGAGGAAGCCGAGCTGCTGCTGCCGCCCAGGGAATGATGGATCAATGAGAGCTGCCCACGCGCTGGCTGCGCCGGCTCCTCCAAGCACAGGCCTGCTTTTTGCAGGGACACACACACACACACACACACACACACAGAGTCTCGTTTTCTAGTGAGTTTTTCCATGAGACTGGCAAACGCTAATAAGCTTGGCGCAGCTCTCAGAAGTCTTTGCTGAACCTGTCAGAGCAGCCATCTGGGTTTCTCAGAAAAACAGTGGACCGGTAATTCCCTTACATAAAATCCTGGCGAGAGTGACGCGCGAGAGCCATTGCATTAGGGGGCCTCGATGCCCTCCTCCACAAGAACAGCGAGCGAGCGAGCGTTCCGCTGAGGACTGATCCATCCTACACGCGGCAGGTCTCGGCACCCGGCGACTGCCTCTCTCGGCTGCTGCCGACTGTAATTGTCCCTTCCGAGCCCACTAATGCAGCGGGGACAACTGGTCTTGTCTTTGGGATAACCCCAGTCTTATGGCTCCATGACCAGGAAGCAGCTTTTTCATATTTTAATCAAATTTCCCAGAGCATTCAATTATGCTCGGAGTCAATGCCAGGTCAGCTTCGTAGACGCTAACAGGAACCCTCAATTACTAATGGATTTGTCAGCTGATGCATGCTGGCGGGAGGTGGGAGGCGGGAGGCAAAGCAGAGGGATCACCTGGCCTATGTCGCCGGCTCTGGGATGGGACCTCAATTGAGCCCTCGTGGGTCCCTGGGAGCAGCCCCACCTCAGCATTCTACCCTTGGAGGCGGTAAAGTTGACGAAACCGTCCAGCTGGCAGGGGACGAAGGCCGATTTCGCACCTGCAATTTGTGTTCGCAGTCACACGCCCTGGAACCCTGACAAGAGGCCCCAAGTGAGGTTGGGCTATGTTTGCAAGCCGACGGCGACGGCTGCCCAGTGGTATGCTTGGAAGAAAAAGGAGCACAGGTGACCCAAGGTGAGCGACAGCTGGTCAGGTGGCCGGGAGCGCCCTGGCAGCTACCAGGGACTCTGGCTGAGCCATTCTGAGCTGGTGGAAGGCTCCCAGTGGCACCGACTGCACACCTGCTGGACACGGGGTGGGCAGCTGCACACGGCCGTGGCTGCCGCTGCTAATAATGATGATAATAATGTTGTAGAAAGGCAGTGGTTACAGATGAGCTAGGCACTCTCTCCACAAACTCGTCCAACCCCACTGACACGCCTCTGAGCTACGTTCCCTTAAGCTGCTCTTTGACAGGTGAGGACATTGAAGCACTGACTCGCTTGAGGTCACAGCGCAAGAGGGTAGAAGCGCCAGGATTCACACCTCTGCAGTTTACGTTTGAATTAAACCTGTGCAACGGCCTCCCCACCGCCTTCCTGGGGACTGACAGTGAGCACCTATCGGGCAAGGAGCTCATGAAAATACGGTACCTTCCATCTCCATTGTTTTATCTGCCAGCTGCCAGCTGTCACCCATATTAAAGATGCTGCAGGGCCCGCGCTGCCACTGCCTGCGATGCCGGCATTCTAAACAGGCACTGGTTGGTGTTCCGGCTGCTCCACTTCCAGCTTGGGAAGGCATCAGAAGACGGCTGAAGTGCTTGGGTCCCTGCTACCCACTGTGGGAGACAGATGAAGCTCCTGGTTCCTGGCTTCAGCTTGGCCTGGCCCTGGCCATTGTGGCTCTTCGGGAAGTGAACCAATGGATGGAAGCGAGTGGTCGCACTCTCTCTCTCTCCCTCTTTCTCTGTAATTTTCCCTTTGAAATAAAATAAATAAATCATAAAGAAAGATGTGGCAAAGGCTCTGCAATTAGCTTAGAAATTAGGAGAAAATGGCTGGTTCATCTTCTGCTTTTTTAAGATTTATTTATTTATTTAAAAAGCAGAGTTACAGAGAAGGAGAGGGAGAGGCAGAGAGAGGTCTTCCATCCACTGGTCTACTCCCCATATGGCCGAAACGGTGGGAGCTGTACCGATGTGAAGCCAGGAGCCAGGAGCTTCTTCCGGGTCTTCCACGTGGGTGCAGGGGCTTGAGGATTTGGGCCATCTTCCACTGCTTTCCCAGGCCATAGCAGAGAGATGGATCGCAAGTGGGGAAGCCGGGACTAAGAACTGGCGCCCACGTGGGATGCCGGCCCTGTGGGTGGTGGCTTTTTCCCGCTATGCCACAGCCTCGGCCCCACACCTTCTGCTTTTTCTAACGTACACCTATGCCATGTGTCCCTCAGCTGTGGCACCACACACACATCTGTCCTCAGGCCAGCCAGGAAGACAGTGGCAACAGATACCACCTGTGCCACACTGGGCTCCCGGGGATCAGAGGGTGGCCCGAGCTCCCCTGAGCCTGCACAGTTCTCAAATGCCTCCTGACACATCAAGACAGAGCCTGTGACTTCTCATACAGCTCTGGGGGTGAGCATGTTCAATACGGGTCACTCCACAGCAGGTTTAAACCTAACCAGGCAGGCCACACCTGA